CTAGGAGCATCCAGTGAGCTGCCGCAATTGTTTCTGACGTGACAAGCCATCGTTCTGAAACCCGGTAAGCCATCTGAAAGCCATCCAAAATCTGAAAGCCGTCAGCAAGCTTTTGAAGCTTTGATTTTTGCCCTGAACCATCCCAAGGCCGCAAGGCCCGAAGGCCCCAAGGCTCCAAAGGCCCCACAGGCCCCAAAGCCGCAAAACCCCAAAGCCGCAAAGCCTTAGTTTTTTCTCTTGAGGTCCTTCTTGCTCCCCCAGGGCGCTTCTCTGGTGTCCCTGCGCGTGGAGTTTGCAATCCCCTTCGAGACAGGCAGTTTAGGGCCAAATTTCGGGCTCCCATGTTCACGCCTTTTGTTCCAGCACCTACAGCAGTGCTGCAGCCCCTTTGCCCGCTCTGTTAAAGGCGGCGGTGGCCTTGTGGACCCCCCACCAAAGCCATGAATGGAAAAAAGTGAAAGGTCTGAAAGGGAGAGAAAGGGTGGAAAAAGGGCGGAGGTTTAGGCGGCCAACAGTTGAGTGGGTGTGGATCCTGCAGTGCCTCCTGCAGAGGCTCCTTGGGCGAGCGCTTGGAAGTGACCGTGGAGGCACGGAGATCCGCGGATGTTCAGAGCGAGACGTGAGATTCCTGCTACTGCGACCTAGTAAAGTTTAGTGTCATCTAGATCATCTAGTGTAGAGTTTCGTGTCAAAATGCCGTTGGGCCGTGAAGCTCCTTGAGTAGACACAGCTGCGCCGCCGTAAAGTTCAGCTTGGTTTCAGCTATTCACGCTATTCAACCGCAACCTTGCCTTCGGTGCTTGAAGCTTGAATGGTGCATGGTGCAACTGCTCGGGCGGTTATCTGGCTGCCGGTTTCTAGAAGTTTATCGGAAGTTTGGGGCTTATGGGGGGTTGTTCTCGCTGTTTTAGAGATCAGTGGTTCGCTTCAGCCAGGTTTTTCAATGCATAGGACCTGAGGACCCCCCCCCCCGACTCAATTCAACCCCTGCACAGAGCCGCATCTTTTTTGTTTTGATGTCATGGTCCTCCCCCCCCCCCCCCCCCCACTCACCCCCCCGTCCCCCAATGGTCTGAGCCCAGGCGCCGGAAGGTTTTGCGCTGGGCTCAGCAGGCTCCTGCGAGGCCGACGGAGTGCAGTGGTGCAGTGTGACTGTGAGTGGAGAGCACAGGAAACAAAAGAAAAACAAAAAGAAGAACACTAGACAACTCTCACTGCATGGCCGCAGAGACCAAAAAAGAAAACGAGGGAGGGAGGAAAGAGAGAAGAGAGAGAAGAGAGAGAAGGGAGGGAAAAGAGAGAAAAGAGAGAAAAGAGAGAAAGAGAGAAAGAGAGAAAGAGAGAAAGAGAGAAAGAGAGAAAGAGAGAAAGAGAGAAAGAGAGAAAGAGAGAAAGAGAGAAAAGCGGGGCGCCGACGAGTCACGCGAGACCCAGAGTACACAACAAGAAGGGGGACTCAGAGAAGAGAGGCACGTTCGGGGGAGAGTTTCACTAAGCGGCACAAAAACGATGTTTCTTGACTCTCTCTCGCTCGCTCTCTCTCTCTCTCTCCCTCTCTTTTTCTTTGCTATCTTGGTTTCAGGAGAGAAGGCCACCACGCAAGAATCCCCCCACACAAACGTTTGAAACAAACACCCAACAGAAACAACCAGGAGCTACTCGGACGAGAGAGGGCTGTGAACATGATGGAGTTCTGACCGCTCTGACCGCAATTGTGCCGCAGGTCCGATCCCTACAGCTCGGCCGCGACGTAGTTCCGGAATCCTGGTGCGCGGGAGTTGTCAGCGTCGGGAGTTGTCAGCACGGCTACCCTCACCCCTCCAAGGACACGCTATGTCCAGTGCCTCGTTGCCGGTTCCATCAACTCTTTAGCAGTCTTTAGAGCTTTTTTTAACAATCATGTGAAACAGGTACCAGTGCGCGGCACCGTCCCCATTGACGTTGCTACTCTCATCAAAAGTCCCTCCGCCGTGTGCTCAGCTGTGCTTGTCGGCTTGTCACCCATCATCTTCCTATAGCGTACGGCGTACGGCACTTCCAGTGTATTCGAAAGCTTTGTGCACTTTTCTCGCGACCGGGCCCTGCCTTCCCAGAGCTGGGCATGGGGGCTGATGGTGGCTGAGGGTTTGAGTTTGGGCTTCTTAGAGTCTTAGGCTCCTAGACTTCCGACTTTACCCTGAGTCACTGAGACTGCCAACAACAATAAGAAAGTCAGGATGTCAGCTGAATCATGATCTTGTGTGTGACTCAGGTTGTCTGAGCTTGCCAGCATTGGCAATCTGCTGACATACAAGGCACGGCATTGGCTCCCAGAAGTCTGTGACCTCTGCCATTCTATACCGGTATCCTACACCATGCAGTGCCCCGTGCATGTCGTCATTGCCAGTATCCTGCGCACGTGCTGGAGAGTGCCTGAACATTCCCCTGCAGCCTGCATAAGTCGAGCAGTGTTCGCAGAGTCCGCCTTTCCAATAGTTCTTCGTGGAAGCTGTTGGGCGTATCCGACGCTGTTGCCGTTCCAAGAGGAGGGGACACAATAACACCTGTCAACCTCAACGGCCACAAAGCTGCTGCCTTTAACAAACGACGAGAATCAAAACACAACGAATCAGAAAACCCTGACTCAACTTTTGTGTCGCTGAAAGTCTCCCTCACGTTTTGCTCATCTGGTCCACATTTCTTGCGCTGCTTTAAGGGCGCTGTGACTGTGAGGCTGAGATCTTCCCGGCCTTGCCACCCGTCGATGCCGAGGGGGCGGAGAGCAGGTGCATTTGTTGGATGTGGGAAGCCGGGAAGGCTCTGAAGAGATGTTGAAATTTGGTAGCTAAACAGTTCCTGAAAGACGATACTCCGATACGACGATACTGACTCACAAGAAACGCAGCCCGGAGAAATCCGGCTGAAAGCACACGAGACGCAGCCCGGAGAAATCCAGCTGAAAGAAGAAATAAAAGAGCCAGTCACGTCCACGCAGATGCTTCTGGAAGTGGACTCGGAGAAGAGTACTTTCCCTTTGGCTATGCAATGCTTTGCAAGAGATCACAAATGTCATGTGCGCTCAGTGTGCTCGAGCCATTTTCAAGAACGCCAAAGCAATTTCGGATGCAGAGGCCAAGGTTGCGTGACAGCCCACAATTTGACCATGAGGCGCTGTTTTGTAGCAAACAGGCGTGGGGCAGGCAAAGAGTGTCTTACAGTCGGACGCTGTCCGCGTGAATTTGGTTGCTGCTTTTTGTTTGAAGCTCACATCTTGAACCGTCTTCCTGTCAGAAGTTGTCTGCTTTACTTTGTGCGTCCAGCTGCCCCTACAGCCCGACAACCTAGTTAAAGCATCTGTAGCTGTCGGTTTTTGCTTGCCTCCTTGTGCAGCTTGGGGTCCAAAGTTGTTGAACAGTATTTTTGTGTGTGTGTGTTTTTTTTTGGGGGGGGATTTTTGGCATTTTTGGGGTTTTTGAGTTTTTCGGTTGAAGACTTCAGGGGGCTTCAGGGCTTGGCGTGAGCCCGCAACAGGCTTTGGAACCTTCGAGCTTTTGCTTGTCGGCTGCTTAGAGTTTAGCATTGCTGCCTAGCGCTGCTAAAGACTGTATGCTCTTAGCGAGGAACAAGCAGTCCGGTATTTTGCGTGCGTTTGGACCTTGGGCATCATGTCCGTGTCCATGTACTCAGCACAGTCAGCTCACGTGTTCTGTGCCATGACCTTTCGATGTTTCTAGTGCTGTTCTGATCACAGCTCATCATGCCGGTCCATTCCCAGCAACACAGACACAAACTACACCTGACTTTCGTACCGAACTCTCAGTAGAGACCTGCCTCACGTTCTAGGCTGCCTCGCTGCCTCGCTCAGCCTAGGCCGCCTCAATGCTGGCACGCTGGAGGATTCCGATGTGGCATGGAAGGCGGCCTCGGGGTTTTAAGGGTTCAAAAGCATCTTCAAAAAGCATGTTCAACTTCGAGAGCAGGGCATCGACCCAAATGAGCGTTGATGCTTGGACATGCTTAATTAGCATACGTGGGCATGCTTTCACATAGCGTTTTCGGGCCCCTAGCGGCCCTGTGAGGAGGCCAGCCTGTGCGCTTTGCTGGCAGCTAGCACCGGTATCCCAAGCTGGACCATGCCGCTCAGAGAGATTTGGAGCCGAATTCGTTGGGATTAAACCCTACAAATCTCAAGAATCTTCACCTGTGCTTTACACACGCGAAAGTTTGCGCAATCGTGTGTTGAAGCTGACTGTGAGTTCTGCGCTGTCTGTTACTAACTAGTCATTGATTTTTCGTATGGAAGCGCAAGACAAGTCCAAAAACACCTAAATCTCATAAAGGGGACATGGTTTTTCTCACATTATTACTCGCGTCTTCATGATTATTGCCCCGTGAGCTCGTTTCTCTCTCACACGCATTAAATCCCAAGTAAAGATTAAGAAAGTGATTTAGCTGCGTGTATTTCCTGCTCTCTGTTGTTTATTTTAACATATGCACGAAATACCCAATTGATATTATTACTACGAAGTGAAAGAGAAATACAAGAATTCCCGGGCGTCTATTTCTTTCAAATTATTATCGCCCGGACATACGTAGTACTATTAGTATCCCCGTTCTCAATCTTGGACCCATTCTTGGAAGGCCTATTTTTGGAAGCTCAAAAGCTCTACTTTGTCGAGCTTTAGAAACTTGAGGATCTTTAGAATGTCAACATTTTTGTGGGCCTGGGCAGGCTCCAGCCCCTAATGTCAAAACTGTCAAAAAAGTTGTGAATTTGCATAGTCATGTTATGCAGAGCAGGACAAGAGCCTACTGTTACCTTTTGGCTCAAGATGAAAAGGGCCGCTCTGAAAGCGGCTTGTACGCAGGGTTGAGGGCTGTGTTGATCCCTAACCTTTTGTGGTTCTTCCTCTTGTTGACCTGTCCCCTAAGCTCAGGCATTAGAGGTTTGAGTCTTTCAACTGGTTATCAGGTCCGTATTGCGTTCGTTGCTATAAGACCCTAAGTGTAGTTGAGCATGGATGGACGGTGAGCAAGAAGGGGCATTCAAGCCTCGCGGCATCAGAAGCGGTCGTTCGGCCAAACGCAAACGGGAAGCTCATCAGAGGAGGCAGTTTATTTTGCATCCTGAGCATTACAGTGATCCATCACAGGTTCCTGTGGTGCATCAAGGGGGCCAGCAGCGACCTTTGTATACACTGCCGACTTGGGAGCCGCATTACACCTCGGACGAAGAGGAGGTTGAAGTGGTTCAAGTAATATCTGAGCCTTCTTCTTCCTCGAAAGCACCTGCGCTCTCTGGTCCTGTTCCGAAGAGACTTGGTCCCCCTGAGAAGGCCTCGACCCCTGCTCAGGCGACTTCTCCCAAATTGCCGCCGCCGAAGGCTGTGATTCCTGTTGCCGTGGCTCCTGTGCCTGCTTTCCACAGGCTGGCGAAAGTTCCACCGGTCCCTCCTCCTGCTCCTTCAAAAGTCCCAAAGGTTCCTGCTGAGACTGCGATCCCGGCCCCTAAGACTCCGCCGAAGCCACCTCCTACGAAGACGGGCAAAGGCAAGGAGTCGGGCAAGGTCAAAAGCAAAGGTAAGGGCAGCGAGCCAGAGGTAGTCAATCTTCCTGGTGACTCTGCCGTTGTCAACCCACACACTGGAGTGATTAGCCACTTGGATCGAACGTCTGCGAGTCAGATTCCCAAGGCCTTCGTTTTGGACTTCCACAACGTTCTGGATCGCTTCTTTCCTGGAGGCCGACGTCGGCCAGTAGGTATCTCCTATCCCAACAAGAAACCGGTCTTAAGCCTGTACTTCAATCGACAGTAGGTCTGGCTGCAGAATTGAACCGTAGCTGTAGCTTCCTGGAGTCCAGAATCGAGCTTCAAATGAGCTCTATGATTCGGGAGTCTGCAAACATGAAGGGGGGAGTTGTGAGTTTACGGGCATCCTCCTTGTATAGTCATGTTATGCAGAGCAGGACAAGAGCCTACTGTTACCTTTTTTGCCCTCAAGATGAAAAAGGGCCGCTCTGAAAGCGGCTTGTGCGCAGGGTTGAGGGCTGTGTTGATCCCTAGCCTTTTGTGGTTCTTCCTCTTGTTGACTTGTCCCCTAAGCTCAGGCATTAGAGGTTTGAGTCTTTCAATTAAGAAGTCGGAATTTTGGTAAAGGCCGGAATCCCCAAAAAACTCTTGGAGTCTTCACTGTTTAGCATTTTGGATCTTCTTAAGTTCTTTTAAAGGCCGAAACTCCTAAAGTCCAAAAAACTGCAGAACCTCAGAAGTTTTATCCTTCGCGATGCGGAATGCGCACGGCGCCTAAGCGAGAGACGAAAACCTAGAACACACATAGCTTCCACCAGAAAACAAAAAATCCCTAGGCAATTCTGCGTCCAAAGCATTCTCGCCCAGCACCGAGGTCAGGGTACCTTCACGTGGACCAACTGATTGTCTCAGACGCTCGGAGCGTGGGGCCGGAGTCAGTCCTTGGGCAGCTTGGCTTGGGCTTGAGCAACACTTGGAGCAACACTTGTTTCTTGAAGGTGTCGCCTTGGGCATGGAGTTGGCATTCCCTACATTTCGCCCACTCAGGCGCAAGGCTGGATCCCCCCCCCCCCCCTCAAAAATCTGAAATATAATCAAGGGCCAACACAGAAAGCCCCCATGCGCCAGGAATCCGAAAGCAGAAACACTGTTTCAGGCAGATCAGGCTCAGGGCATCGCGTTCCTTTCTGGCAGAAAAAAAATGCCAGCAGCAACCAATGGACCCTGCACACCTTAGATGGTGTGACGGAGGCCGAGTCAAAGGTGGAGCGGAAAGGCCTGGAATTTCTTGAGGCTTCCATGACCGAGCCACAGGCATGCACAGACTCTTGTGAGAAGCTTTAATTTATGACAATGGGCTTCAAGGTGTTTTTTATGAGTGAGGCGGAGGTTCGGATGGCTTTTGTTGTGGTGCAGGCGTTGACAGGTGTACATGACATGACTGATGATCCCTCCCTCTTAGGTGATGTTATCAGAATCTGAAGCAATCCCAAACTAAATCGAGATGCTGAGTGCAAAAACTCAGGCAGTGGCTGCAGCAGCAGACTCCATCCAGAGAGTCCAGCCAGCTGCTGCCACGCGGACGGCTTTATTCAAGTGTATTCAAAGGCTCACTTTTGTACCAACATACGTGCAGTTGCTTTTCATATGGAGAGGAGCATGTCAGAAGAAACTGAGAACTTTCAGGAATGCAGAATACTGTGTCGATTCAGGGAGACCAATTCATACAGCAAAACCAACGTCGGGGTCTAGGGCCAGGGGTTGCGTGCCAAGCAGGGGAGACAGTGTGGGACGGGGAAATCCTGCAAGGTGCGATCTTGGGCGGCGGGATGGTTTACTGGACGGAACGGGACCGAACGGGACCGAACGGGATGCATGCGGGACCGAACGGGATGCGTGCTGCGAGCTTTGGGGGCGGGATGCCACGGGACGGCACACGGGAACCCTGCAGGGCGCGAGCCTTGCCGCAGGGGGACCTGAGGGGTGCGAGCTTTGACGCCACGAGACGGTACAGGACAGGTGCGGGCTGGCACGCCGGGGACGGCGGGACCCTGCCGGGCGAGGTCCGCCGTGCGAGGTGCGTCTGCGGCAGAAATGGCGAAGCGAGCTTACATGATGTAACATGACGGAGCAAAGCATTCCTGAATTCATGTTGGGCATGCGTTTATGAAGCACGAAGGGTTCGGGCAACAACCGTAGTGCCTGAGGTGGAAACCGTCTTCATCTCATCTTTGACACAAGAGAACCGAAACTCCGACGTGAATGTCTACTCTTCTCATATGTCTGCGTGTGCACGAATGCTTTGCCCATCTGCATGTCTGTTAACAAACGCCCCGCACCCACTTCCATCGTTGATCCACCCATCACCTGCCAATGCCCATACATGTCGTATCTCGGGCCCTTCCGAAAACATGTGCAGTAAAATGCAATGCCAAATTGGATCGCGTGGAGGGCCCCGATGGTTGCTCAACATCGAAGATTAATTTGGGTGGTTAAGTGCCGTGGAGTGGCTGTCGCATGATGTCGCGGCTCAAGGTCTCTGACGATCCGCGGCATCCGCCTCAACAGCGCGCTGCCGGCCGGCAGCGAGATTCGGCTCCTGGCACCTTCAGGCAATGGCTGCTACGATGGCGGTCCTTGCTGTCCTTACCCACGCGTGTGTCACAGAACGGGCTCCGGAAGGAAGTACGAGAGTAGAAGTTTCGGGGGCCACAACTTAATGTGAAAGCGTGCCCGCGATTTTTTTGGATGGGCACGGTCCGGGATTCGGAATTCCCCAAGATCTCTCCAAGCCCTGACACTTGTAAAGAAGAAGGACAAATTGCTGAAGAGGGCCCCTTAAGCCTTTGCAGAGGCTACAGCTTCCGGCAGCCCTTCGACGCATCCCAAGTGCTAAGTGGGCCAGCGCCTGGGACCCCGAAAAAGGAAGAGCAAAAAGTTCAAAGATGTTTGGTCTGTTTTGTTATTTGTTCTCCTTTTTTTGGTGGGGCGGGGGATGGTTCCGGGGTGTTTATGGCTCTCACCATCATTATATCTGTTTAGAAGGTGAAGAGTCATTTCTGCAGTAGTACTGCAGCATTTTCGGTTTAATGTGGTTTCATGGGCCCAACTAACCCACTTCCGACAATTTTGAGAGCAACAAAAGCCGCTTTCGCTTTTCGCTGTGCAGGCCCTGGACTTGTCCCGCAGCCGGACCGAAGAGCAGCTGATGGTGTTGGTGTTCCAAGGACTTGCAGAACTGTGAAACCCATGTAGCTGCCGTCACAACTGTTACTAGGCCCCATGTTCCATATCACTAAACTCTAAACCCTGAACTCCAAACTCCTCTAGCAGCAGCATGGTAGCAAAAGACGAGTCGCCGGTTCCCGCTGAGGAGACCTCAGCGGTGATGACGGGGCACTGGACCTGGTGGCCACTAGGTCTGCAAGTTTGCAAGTTGAGGCTCCACCGCAAACTCCCAAACTCCCAAGCCCTAACCCCTGAACATCGTTCCATGCAAGTTGATTTTGGAGCAAAATCAACACCCAGGCTTTGTGGTGCAGAGAGCTGCAGATTAGAAGTCTTGTCGATGTGGCCGGCGCAGGACTTTAGCAACATCCCATGTTTCAGGGTGCTTCAAGCAAAAGGGCCGTTGTCAAGCTCTTAATCCCTGAACTAGAGAGTCGGAACAATTTCACCCCACACTGTTCTAAACCCTTAAAGCCTTAAACTCTAATCTAAGATAGAGCAAGTCGATCATCCTTCGGAAAGCCCAAGGTTGTCGCAGAGGCCTTGGCCATAACGGCGGAGGGCACTGGCACCACTCCTTGGAAGTGGCGCAGCAGGAGTTAAACAAAAGTTACCACACTTAAGATACTACAGGGCTTGTTAGGGTTTGTTAGGGTCTGTTAGGGTCTGTTAGGGTTTGTTAGGGTTGGGGTTTGTTGGGGTTTGTTGGTTGTACTAAGAAGCCTCTTAGCCTTCCAAGAAGCCGAGGCTGGAGACGCGGTCGGTGACTGGGAGAGTGCTTGGAGTTCAAGGCGCGCGCGTGTGCGGGCGGGGAGATTCGAGAGGTGTTTGGAGCTAATGCGATTCTTGAAAGTAAGGTCTCCCTTTCTGACCTGCAGGTTTGGAGTTGGGGCTTCAGAGGCTTGGCAGAGGCCTTGCAGGAGGCTTTGCAGGTTTAGGGGATCCTCGGCTTTGGTTGATGGTGCCGCTCTGGATCGCCTTTGTATGTGTTGTTGGTTCAAAATTAGCGGTCAGAATGAGGGGTGCCGGGGCGGCGATCTGTGCAGGAGACCTCGGCAGTTTCGACCAGCTGGCGGCGTTCGACTTCCTTGTGGTGACAGCTACCACCGCTGCAGCCGGTGCGGTCTTCGACCTTGCTGCATCTCGGCCTAGGCTCCGGCGTAAACGCCCAGCTGCCCAATGGCCGAAGAATAGCGCTCGCGCTCTTTTTGAACTCCCTCTCCAGCCATCTTTTTAAATGACATTTTTTGGGGTCGTTTTTTTGATATCTATCCATATCTTTCCAGGGGGGCTGCCCCGAGGTCTTCTTCGCCATGCCGGCGCACTTCGATTTGCCTGGAGGTCAGGGGAGGAAACAGGAGAGGAAACAGCAGGGACAGAGGGGGTTTGTCACAAGGCTTCTGGAGACTCATCGCATGACTCCTTAGAGGGTGCTAAGCCACAGCAAGACACGACAGAATTTCTAACAACTCAATTGATTCTAACCTCCAGCCAAAACCCTAAACACTCCAAGAGCAACCTTAATGACCCCCAAGAACCCCTCAAGAAACCTTAAGTCAATCCCCCGAAGAGTTCCAATCTCCGGAGGCTCCCTGCTCCGCCTCCGGGCGCCCCTCGGCGCGGCCTTCGCCACTGGCGCCACCGGGCTGGAGCTGCCCACTGCCGCCGCCGGCTCGCCTTTTTTTGTTGGTGTTTCTTTTTTGGTGGTTTCGTTTTTGCGGTTTTGCGAAGTTTCCCACAGTGTGGCGCTGTGGTTGGTTAGAGCCTTTAATGAGCTGTGCCCCGTTGAAGCTTCGGGCCGAGGTTTTGTTTTTTTCCTAGGTGCGGCTTGGCTTTTGGTGCGGCTTGGCTCGGCTCCGTTTTTTTTTTGTGTTGCTCAAAAGGGGTGGGGGGGGGTGGGGGGGGAGCTGTGCCCCCATCCGTGTCACCTTGGACCCAAAACGGTATTCCTACGCACCACGAACCAAAACCTCACACACCAGAAAAACAAAAAAAAGAAGTTGTTCCACGAACTTCGCGATTCTCCAGCGCATGCAACAGTCTCTTCAACGAACCACTAACCAAAACGTCACGCGACCCCATAGGCTTTCAACCTTACGACCTGACACTTTCAACCCCCAGTCCTCGACTCTAACACCAGACAAGGCTTCTTCTTATATCCTCAACCACAAGCCGCTGCATGCTGCTCGCTTTGGGCATCCAGTCCACCCCCTCCCCCCCCCTCGTTCACGTTTCGACTTTCAGATGCTTTTCGCAAGTTCTCGACTTATCCGGGCTTTACCGACTTTTACGCGTTTCCATTTTTTTTGCTTTTCCACTTTTCGACTTTTTGACTTTTCGACTTTTCGGGACTTTTCGGGACTTTTCGGGACTTTTCGGGACTTTTCGGGACTTTTCGACTTTTCGACTTTTCGACTTTTCGACTTTTCGACTTTTCGACTTTTCGACTTTTCGACTTTTCGGAACTTTTCGGACTTTTCGCGTGAAGCCCTTGTCCAAATCGACTTTTCGACTTTTCGACTTTTCGACTTTTCGACTTTTCGACTTTTCGACTTTTCGGGTTTCTTTGTCCGTACTCCACTTGCGGCCGCGGACAACCGTTCGCAATCACAGGAATTGTGCGGGGGGGGGGGAGCTGTGCCCCCAAACACATGAATCCGTCCCCAACCCATCATGCGAGCATATTGCTGACCAAACAATCCGAGCCGCACTTAAGAAAACCCAGGAAAGAAACAAACCAAGAAAGCAACTCCCCCGATTTGCGTGGGAGGGGTGCCCGGATGGCAGGAGACCTTGGGGGGGTACTCTTGGAGGTAAACCCCCCCCTCACTGCCCCTCATTCCCTGAACCACTCAACTGCAAAACCCTGTAAAACCCCTCACTCAATCAGCTGTCTCGGGGTCTCAACTTCCTGACACATTTCTCTGACAATGCTTGGCAGGCCGCTTGCGAGACCCAAGGCTCGCCTCCGCCACCCGGCTCAAAGTTCTTGGGGTGGCCAAAACAGACCCCAAAAAGACCACGAAAACAACACGACATCGACCAAAAAAGAGCAGGAGAGGAGGTCGGATTCTGAATCAATCTCAAAGTTCCAGGAACCTTACGGGAGCGGACAGGTCCGCCCGATGCCACCCAAGACCTCGTGCCTTGCGAGCGCCGATGCCCGGGCCTCGGTTGTCAAAGCCAAAGAAGGGGCTTTTGAAGGGACTTGTACGGTTTTTGTAAGCCGCTGCAGAGCTTCAATGGGTCTTGGTTCAGGGAGGAAGAACGGATCTTTGGAAAACATCAGTTTGCTGTGATCTCAATTTATTTAATTTAGCCCGTCACCCTGCTTAGCAGGCAGCCAAACCTCTGAAATGCTGAGACCCCCAGCCTAAACTTGTGATCTGAGACGCTGACGATCACGCTGGATCTCGATGGCTTGACGCAAGGCGCAACGTACGCCGCTAGGCCAGGAAGTGCAAAGGGCCCTTTTTTGTTTTTTTAACCTTCAGCCTTGAGGGCTTGCGAGCGCATTGTCACTGTTCATTCAGTAGTTCTTTGTCTCTTTCCTCGCTCAAGAGCTGTATCTTGATGCTGCCATTCACAGCATTTGGAACCTAGGAGCTGTCAGAAATACTGATTTTTGGAGCCTCTGAAAAGCCAAAATGCTGTACCTTACGCAGTTTGAAGCTTGTGAATCAGGAGAAAAACTGAAAAACAAAACTGCAAAATCATCTGCATCCTGTGATGCTTGTCTTTATGCTGACTAACTTTTCTTGACGTCTTGATATTTTGTTCATGCCTGGCTATTTTTTGAGTGCCTCTCCCCTTGGATCCGGAACTGCTGAAACATCTATTGCCACAGCTATTGCAAAGGGTATGTTTACTTGTCAGTCGCGTGGCCAGTCTCAGAGGGTGTGGGGTGCATTTGTGTTTGCAACTGGTTGAGGGGCTGCGCCTCCCCCAAACCCCCCAAACCACCCAAACCCCCCCAAACCCCCCAAACTCCCCAAACCCCCCAAACCCCCCAAACCCCCCAAACCCCCCAAACCCCCCAAACCCCCCAAACCCCCCAAACCCCCCAAACCCCGCCAAACCCCCCCCCACTTTTGCCAGCCGTGCAAAAGCGTGTTTCGAAGACCATCGCACCATCACAGAGACATTCCCCCCAAAACCATGTGAAACCTGTCCAAACCCCATCATGCCAGCACCGCGTTTGCAAATCGGAAGGCGGGGTTGCGCCCTTGCCAACCCCCCCTTCTTTTTAAGCCATGCCAAGCTTGCGCCAAAGAATTGCGAAGATCGCGCCATCAATAGACATGCCTTAGTACAACCGGTGAATACTCAGACATCGACACGTATGTGAACAATCGGAAATGTTGTAAGTGATCAAAGGTGTTTCGTAATGATGCAAAGAGCCTTTTCGCAGCAGAGAGCAACTCGAAATGTTGCATTTGTTAGAGTATTTGGAGCCTGTGATTGGTTTTGTTGACCCTTGATTGATTTGGCTTTCATGCTTAATGCAGCCTTTGATGGTCCACCCGGATCCAGGGGTCTAAACGAGGCTTTCCAGTGGCCAGCTCAGCGAGTCGTGGGCCAAGAGGCCCGGCACATTGTCATGTCATGTTGTTGCAAGGAAGCGCTGTTCCGTTCATCTCACCTGTGGCCCATACCTGACCAGAAGAATACGAGAACAACCGCCTGAGCAGCCGCTACATCCACATGTGAGACACACAATTGTAGGTAAGCCACTCTATTCGCCATCTGCACTGCGATCGTGATGCCCCGCTGTAAACCCTGGAAACCTAGCCTGGAAGTGAGAAGACATTCGAGAGTCGAGAGAACTGGCACAACTCGGTCACAGTCATCCAAGTCATCCAAGAGTCGTCCAAGTCCTCCACGAGTCATCCAAGAACAGAGTGAGGAGACTCTTAGAGACGCTGAGAGACTCGGAGAGACTCTGAGAGACTGAGAGTGAGACGTCTGAGACGTCACCCTCACAGCGAGGCCTCCTGGCGCCCTTTGACCGCAGCTGGGGCGACTGGATCCTGGGCAGCAGCTGTAGCAATGCTGTTTAACGATAGGCCGGTAACCGGTTGGCTTGGGTTTGGTTTGCGTTTGGTTTGGGTTTGGTTTTTGGAGTTGAGTTTTTGGAGAGCCCTTGAGCGCGAGGTCATTTTGCAGATTTGCTGCTGGCAGACGAGGTGCCTGGCTGTGAGGATCCAAAAGGGGTGCACATGCATGCACATCCGCAAGTGCAACTGGCAGAAGAAGCCGAACCCAATTCACCACCCCCCCCCCCCCCCCCCCAATTGTAGGCACAAAGTCACAAAGCGGCAAGTATGGCAAGTGGTCTTCCCATGTCTTCCCTGCGCTCAAAATGCAAGTGTCCAGCTCAAAACCCGAGGTTGCTTCGGCGCCGCGCCTCGGCAGTTGGAGCTTGGAAGCTCTCCGGGCCGGCAAGCGACTGCTTCCCGGCTGCAACCTCACGCAACCTCACGCAACCTCAACCTCACGCAGCTTGGGGACTGGGGTGGGAATGCTGGGGCAGGAGGGCTGGGGTATGAACACATGAGAAGCCCTTGCCCCGAGGCTGAAGTCCGAGGTCTTTGCCACGGGCCTGGAGATGAAGTCCTTGAGCCCTGTGTGGCTGCTTCCCATGCGGCCCTTCTACGGCCAGGAGTGCCCCCTTCCGAACTCAGACAAAATGCCCTGGACCTCCTAAAAATCCGCTCTCGTACCCTCCACCTGAGCGCCCCTACAAAGCTATTCCTACACAGCCCTGAACCCTTCGGACTCTACAGGTGCCTGGTCTTTGTCGTCTTCTCCCTCGGCGGATTTGCGTTTGCACCGACGGCCCGGCTTAGACTCAAGCTGCGGGGGCCCCGATGCATCGGGTTGTGTTCAGAAAGTATGTTATATGTGTCTCTATGGATATTGATGTGTAGGGGCACGTCTCCCTCCCTCCCCTCCCTCCCTCCCTTGCTCGCTCTCGCTCTCTCTCTCTCTCTCTCTGTCTCTCTCTGTCTCTCGCTCTTTGTCTCCTTGGCATGCGTGCAAATTCTTGCTGTGGGTTGCCAGATGAGCCCCTGACCTACAAAGCGGAAAAAATCTTCTGAGACCTAAATGTGGAGCGCATCGTAGGACCAAGAAGCCTGAAATCTCCACGATCCACGCTGACACAGGCAGTCCGGTCAAGCGGGTGCTACTGAGCGCCTTCGCTTCCTCAGCTGTGAGCGCCAGGCGGGGCGATGATTGGGGTGCAATTTTTCGAACGATCCCAAAAATTGATGTATGTGTTCGTCTATGTTCGTCTATTCTCGGACTCCCGGCCCAGGAGGCGCTGCTGCGCCAGGGCGCTTGGGCGCAGCCGCTGGCGTTTGGAACGGAGGCCAGACAAAGAGCAGCTAAGACAGCTAAGCTAAGGGGGGTCAGCCAAGGGTTCAGGGCTCTTGTAAAGCTCGTAAGGGCTGTGAATTCAGCCATGGACGCTGGAGATGTCAAGGAGAGCCGGGGGCCGCTGCACCCCAAACCTCCAAACCTCGCCTTCCCTCTTTGCCTCTTTGCCGAGGCCTTCGTGGCCTCACAGACTGGGGGAAGCCTTGCATTTCGGCTTTGGTTGAAGCTTGCTGTGGGTTTCGGAGATTTGGGGGCTTCGAGAAACTCTTGAAACAAAGTCAGGAAGGGGGGGAGGTCGAGGGCCCAGGGCGGTCCAGGGCTGCTTCGCTGGCCGAGGCTGGGGACTCGGCTCTGGCCACGGTGGCCTTCGAGAACTGCGTCCTGGGCCAAGGCAAGGGAGAGTCCCGGAGAGTTTGGGAGGGGACATGCAGCTCCGCATCGTGTCCAGGTAAAGAGTCAGTCTCTTTCCTCCACATGTGAGGGCGGGGGGGGGCCTATCCTCCATTCACATCTTTCACTGCTTTCCAGTACCTTTCACTACACTTTCACTCTGCTCTCATCAACAGTGCTTACTGGCGTGCCTGGCGAGTTCATAAAAATGAATATGCCAGCGAAGACCCCAAACAGTAAGGTTGTAGACAATTTAGGGTTTAGAGTGTAGGGACTTTAGGGATTCAGAAAGTTTGGGCTTGGAAACATTAAGCTTTTCGACAAAGGGAAAACTGTGTGAAGCAACAATGCAACGAAGAGCAAAGGCAGAGTCTGACTGCGCACCAGGAAAACCCTGGCCTGTGACAGTCAAAAGCAACGCTGCTACACTTGTCCAAAATTGAGGTGTCCTGTTTCTCCTATAGCCAAACACCCCTGAAAAGGACACCCACCACTGGGACCCCAAATTTTGGGAACACCTCCACATGCCAGACAAAAGCAAAGCTGTGCTCTAACTTGAGAACAAAAAAGACTTGCTTTTGTCAATCCTTTTTTGTTTCTTCCATAGTAACATGTTCACAGACTCGTCTGCTTCTACTGGTTTTGGCTGTCGCGGTCTCGTCCGCTTCTTTGGCTGTCACGGTCTCGTCCGCTTCTACTGTTTTTTCTCCGAGCCAAAAACAGTAGAAGCGGACGAGACCGCGACAGCCAAAAGCAGGCGAAACGGACGAGAAAGCGACAGCCAAAAACAGTAGAAGCGGACGCGAGCGTGACAGACAAAAACAGTAGAAGCGGACGACGGACCGTGACCCTAAGACGGTAGAAGCGGACGAGACCGTGACGGCTTATAACAGTAGAAGAAAGGTCTACTGTTTTGGCTGTCACGGTCTCGTCCACTTTACTGTTTTCGGCTGTGACGGTCTCGTCTTCTACTCTTTTGGGCTGTCACGGTCTCGTCCGCTTCTATATTGTTTTTGGCTGTCACAGTCTCGTCCGCTTCTACTGTTTTCGGCCGTCACGGTCTCGCTTCTAGTGAGTTTGGCCGTCACGGTCGCGTCCGCTACTACCGTTTTTGTCCGTCACGGTCTCATCCGCTTCTGTTTTTGGCTGTCACGGTCTCGTGCGTTTGTCAGGGTCTCGTCCGCTTCTACTGTTTCTGGCTGTCACGGTCTCGTCCGCTTCTATACTGTTTTTGGCTGTCATGGTCTCGTCCGCTTCCATTGTTTTGGCTGTCACGGTCTCGTCCGCTTCTAGTGTTTTCGGCTGTGACGGTCTCGTGTTCTACTGTTTTGGGCTGGTCTCGTCCGCTTCTATTGCTTTCGGCTTTCACGGTCTCGTCCGCTTTTACTGTTTTTGGCTGTCATGGTCTCGTCCGCTTCTATACTGTTTTGGCTGTCACGATCACGATCTCGTCTGCTTCTACTGTTTTCGGCTGTGACGGTCTCGTCTTCTACTGTTTTCGGCTTTCACGGTCTCGTCCGCTTCTACTGTTTTTGTCCGTCACGGTCTCATCCGCTTCTGTGTTTGGCTGCCACGGTCTCGTGCGCTTGTCAGGTTCTCGTCCGCTTCTACTGTTTCTGGCTGTCACGGTCTCGTCCGCTTCTATACTATTTTTGGCTGTCACGGTCTCGTCCGCTTCTACTGTTTTCGGCTGTCACGGTCTCGTCCGCTTCTGCTGCTTTTGGCTGTCACAGTCTCGTCCGCTTCTTCTGTTTCTATTGTTTTGGGCTGTCACGGTCTCGTCCGCGTCTATTGTTTCTGGCTGTCACAGCCTCGTCTGCTTCTACTGTTTTCGGCTGTCGCGGTCTCGTCCGCTTCTACTGTTTTCGGCTGTCGTCCGCTTCTACTGCTTTGGGCTGTCACGGTCTCGTCGGCTTCTACTGATCCGCTTCTACTGTTTTTGGCTGTCAGGGTCTCGTCTGCTATACTGTATTTGGCTGTCACGGTCTCGTCCGCTTCTACTGTTTTCGGCTGTCACGGTCTCGTCTTCTACTGTTTTTGGCTGTCATGGTCTTCTACTGTTTTCGGCTGTCACAGTCTCGTTCGCGTCGACTGTTCTTGGCTTTCAGCTGTCACGGTCTCGTCCGCCTCTACTGTTTTTGGTGTCACAGTCTCGTCCGCTTCTACTGTTTTCGGCTGTCGCGGTCTCGTCCGCTTCTGCTTTTCTTGGCTGTCACAGTGTTTTTGGCTGTCACGGTCTCGTCCACTTCTACTGTTTTCGGCTGTCACGGTGTCGTCCGCTTCTGCTTTTTTTGCTGTCACCGTCTACTGTTCTTGGCTGTCACTGTCTGGTCCGCTTCTGCTGCTTTTGGCTGTCACAGTCTCGTCCGCTTCTTCTGTTTCTATTGTTGTTGGCTGTCACGGTCTCGTCCGCTTCTATTGTTTTTGGCTGTCACAGTCTCGTCCGCTTCTACTGTTCGCCTGTCGCGGTCTCGTCCGCTTCTGCTTTTCTTGGCTGTCACAGTCTCGTCCGGTTCTACTGTTTTTGGCCGTGGCGATCTCGTCTGCTTCTACTAGTCTCGTCCGCTTCTACTGTTTTCGGCCGTGACGGTCTCGTCCGCTTTTCTGTTTTGGGCCTTCACGGTCTCGTCCGCTTCTACTGTTTGGGCTGTCGCGGTCTCGTCCGCTTCTTCCGTTTCTATTGTTTTTGGCTGTCAGGGTCTCGTCCGCTTCTACTTTTTTTGGCTGTCACGGTTTCGTCCGCTTCTATTGTTTTTTTGTCTGTCATGGTCTCGTCCGCTTCTACTGTTCTTGGCCGTCACGGTCTCGTCCGCTTCTACTGTTGTTGGCCGTCACCTCATGATCGGACCGACGCGCGTGATACCCACCCGGCCCCAATTCACCCGACGATCGGAGACCATGGGAGACCACAGGCCCGAACCGGGTGACCCACCCGGGCCAATTGTGTTCATGGCCGGAGACCATGGGAGACCGCAGGCCCGAAGCGCGTAACCCATTTGGCCAAGCGCGTGACAGTTTCTTCTGAGGAGAGGACCCCATCTGGTTCCTGTTTGGGGATGTTTAGCAGTGACAAGCATGAATGTACAGTGGTGACCTTGTACTCGGAGCTGACCTTATGTGGGAGATTTCTGCACAAAAGTCAACTCTTAGGCGGGGTCAAAATTTCGGGGTGACCTTGCACGGGCGACCTTACATGCAACAACCGTCTCATTACATTTACATGTCACTATGAATCTTCCCTGTCTCTGTCTGTATTTTGAAAGAGCTAGAAAGGAGTGCATCTGCACACGAAGAAACGAGAAGAGGTCCGGGTAACAGGAAGTGATGCACTCAGATCACTGCCCTCAAGGTGCCTTGCAGAGCAACGAAAGCTCCATGCGGAGCTTCGAGGAGAGCCGCGGGGAACATCACAGTGCAACGCTGTGCCCCACGAGTTGAGGTCTCTCCAGCACTCGTTGTTGGCATTTGTTGGAGTGTACAGAGTCTACAGTCGAGTAGCGGGTAGGTAAGGTGTACGGCCATCAGACGAATGGCAAGTGAATGACATTTGACAATTTGTTGCCCAAATGCGAGGAGCTTCAAAGCAGCTGGCTTTCAGCAACAGGACCTTCTCTGCTTTGCGTGTGCAAATCCAGGGCCCAATAATGGTATCTCTTGGTCAAAGAGAAACGGAGCATTCCAAGCCTGAAGGGGACCACAGGGGTAAGGAAGGGGACAATCGAAGTTTAACAGGCATGAGCCTACACCAAAACCCGGACCCCGACCAAAACCCTGTACAAGCAACCCTGAATGGGACAAAGCCAGACTAGGGAGGCACATGCAGAGGCTACTAACGTCGCCATGCTCCACACGACCGTCTCCACTTCAGCTCTTAGAAAAGTTCTTCCACTCAACGCTCCTCCTTGGGTGCTTTGTCACTGCATCCACCATCCAGAGCGCAACTGCACGCTGGACTATGCACGCGCTGCCCAGCCCTGCACTCGCCCGTATACTCACTTCGCACTCTGTGGTGTGTGCTCCTCAGGCCTCTGCAGTCACCAAGTAGTCACCTTTGCAGGTGCTGTCCGGGTCCGGACCACACGGTCTACCCTCGCAGACGACATCAACGGGCCTATACGAGGCCCGTGACCTCTACAGACGGCCAGTGGCCAGTGGGCCCTGTGTCGAGGCCATACTCTTCCAGCTCCGATTGCAATGAAGCCTCCGAGCGTTGCGTACTTCTGACACAGATCTTTCCAAAATTCGCCGACTCAAACACGCACTTGATGGCCTCCTAAACAAATGCCAAATGCTGCACACTAACGACACCCAGCCAGAATCAAGGCACGCAACTCCCAGGCGAAGCTATCCTCCAGTCCAGTTCCACGCGTCGTGGCAACCCTAGAACTTTGAACCAACCAACCCAACAAAACCACCAGCCTAGCTAGCACCCATTCGAAAGCAGCAGCTGCGTTGCTCAACATGGAGAAGGTACACGGATCCCAAACCATACAGCAGCAATGTCTCGGTCTGTTTCAGCCTTGCTTCAGGTGCCTCCTTATGTCAAGCTCAGAAAGCAACTTGGCCGAACGACACGGATGACTGGCACCACTGTCTAGCAAGGCCCGCTCCTGATCGCCCTCATTCCTTCATTAGCGTTTCGCGCACTGCCTGTCTTCACGAAACTAGCCCCTTTGACCATCATGACTTTCGTCCTTCCCCGCGAGAGGATCCGCATTCGTCGCCAGCAGACACACATCAGTCAAATGTGCCCAGGCCTGGGCTCCTTCAAGAGAAGTATCTGTGCGCAGTATTGGCACAGGACGTTCTTTGGTTTCGGCTCCTCGTGGCAAAAAAAGGTGCGCTTCCCTTGCTTGTTTTTGAACCTAAACGTCTAGGGCGGTGTACTATCCTTCTAAACTCCAAGCCTCCTAACCACCACACCCAGCTCGCATCCCAAGCAACCGCGTTCGTCGCCCTTGAGCCCGCCGAAGTCGGGCGTGTCATCATTCCTTGTGCGGAGGCCGTGCGTCACGCAAGCAATGTATGCGATTACGCCCTTCTCCACTTCCGAACTCTTCCACTCAACTTTATTCTGTTTCGTCCTTTCGAGTCCAGGACTGGAGATGACGCTGGGTTTTTCGGCAGCACAGGCCAAGAATGGGCGCCTCCGAATTGACACGCGTACTCAATGCAGACGTGCTGGCCATGCTGACCGTAATCAACCACCATGCTTGCAGTCTTTGCAAACCTAAGCCTCCAGCTCAGGAGGCGACATATACATTTTATAGCAGTTCTTTTTCGGTAGAGCTGTGGGCACAGCTGAGATTTGCAAACGCAACTGGACCCTGCATCGGAACAGTATCTGCTTGTGACGCTCGGCGGCTCTTGGCAATGAACTTTTGAAGCTTAAAGCCCCGAAAAGAGCTGCAGCACCGGCGCACGAGAAACTACAGTCTAACTTCAAACCCAAGGTTCCCACAGCCGAAAGGCCGAAAGGCGCCAAATACTAGGTTCTGCGACTGTTCTGCGCCTGCCAAGGATTGCTTTGCTGAATCCCCCGCGGCGCCTTGCCAAGGGTTCGGACTTGTGGAGCTTCGGAAATATACGTTTACTTGGGTTGAGAGTGCGCGCGTGGGGCGTGGTGGAAACTCGGACAGGAATGAACGGATCCTTTCCTGCTTTTCTGGCCTTCGTATGCCGGCGTTTGCCGGCGTTTGCAAACACAGGAAGTATTTGAGCGCCTGAGTGTTTGTGTAAGAGTTTGACTGTCTGCTTTTCAGGTTGCACTTGATTTGCATTCTCGCAAACCTTTAGATAAGGTTTGCGAGAACATGTTGAGGTAGAATCAGGAAACTTCGAAGCTTCTGAGGCCCCATCGCCCCAGGCCCTCTTTTGTGTCTTCCAGGTCCAGTGGTGTTGCAGAGGACCAAATGATAATCGAGGCCCGCATGCTGAGTGCCGTTCTTAGTGCTCCGAACCGCCTAGAGAACAGATCGCAAGAGCCGATCATCTGCGTCTTTGAGATCATCGACATCACAGGTTGAACGTCGCTGTTGCCCTACGGACCCGTATTTCCGAGCACTTGCGTGCAGGTAATCGACGGATCTGGCGAGGGTGTGACCTGGACCTAATGTGGAGCAGAATCTGGGGTTTGCCGTTGTAGGGCACTCTCTAGACCTTCCTCGGACAACCTTGTGATCCAAAATTTCTAGCAAATTCCTAGACTCTTCAGGCCTCCCCAAACCTCCCCAAACCTCGCCAACCCCCCTTCCTCAGAAACTGAGCGCGAAGAAGAGTCGAAGAGTCAGGAGCGAGCCGCCGCCCGGTCTCCAGATCTTCGCACCTATGCTTTAGCAAGCGACGCCTGGTCGGCCTAAGCACCTGCGTACTACTACGTCCTGTAGGATGTCGGCAGAATCGCAAATTAGGCGAGCTTCCAGGGAGTGCCCATCGCCAGAGCTTCTTTGGAGTGCCCAACCCCAAAGGACGCAAAATCTGTAGGGTCGGGATGTTCGAAGTAAAGCAATTCTCTTTTTTCTGTTGTCTCTTCTCTCTCTTCTCTCTCTTCTCTCACTTCTTTTCTCTCTCTTCTCTCTCTTCTCTCTCTTCTCCTCTCTCTTCTCCTCTCTCTTCTCCTCTCTCTTCTCCTCTCTCTTCTCCTCTCTCTTCTCCTCTCTCTTCTTCTCTCTCTTCTCCTCTCTCTTCTCCTCTCTCTTCTCCTCTCTCTTCTCCTCTCTCTTCTCCTCTCTCTTCTCCTCTCTCTTCTTCTCTCTCTTCTCCTCTCTCCTCTTCTCTCTCTTCTTCTCTCTCTTCTCCTCTCTCTTCTCCTCTCTCTTCTCCTCTCTCTTCTCCTCTCTCTTCTCCTCTCTCTTCTCCTCTCTCTTCTCCTCTCTCTTCTCCTCTCTCTTCTCTCTCTTCTTCTCTCTCCTCTTCTCTCTCCTCTTCTCTTTTCTCTTCTCTTTCCTCTTCTCTCTCCTCTTCTCTCTCCTCTTCTCTCTCCTCTTCTCTCTCCTCTTCTCTCTCCTCTTCTCTCTCCTCTTCTCTCTCTTCTCTCTGTTCTCTCTCTTCTCTCTCTTCTCTCCCTTCTTCTCTCCCTTCTTCTCTCTCTTCTTCTCTCTCTTCTTCTCTCTCTTCTCCTCTCTCTTCTCCTCTCTCTTCTCCTCTCTCTTCTCCTCTCTCTTCTCTCTCTTCTTCTCTCTCCTCTTCTCTCTCCTCTTCTCTTTCCTCTTCTCTTTCCTCTTCTCTCTCCTCTTCTCTCTCCTCTTCTCTCTCCTCTTCTCTCTCCTCTTCTCTCTCCTCTTCTCTCTCCTCTTCTCTCTCCTCTTCTCTCTCTTCTCTCTGTTCTCTCTCTTCTCTCTCTTCTCTCCCTTCTTCTCTCCCTTCTTCTCTCCCTTCTTCTCTCCCTTCTTCTCTCTCTCTTCTTCTCTCTCTTCTTCTCTCTCTTCTTCTCTCTCCTCTTCTCTCTCTTCTTCTCTCTCTTCTTCTCTCTCTTCTCCTCTCTCTTCTTCTCTCTCTTCTTCTCTCTCTTCTTCTCTCTCTTCTTCTCTCTCTTCTTCTCTCTCTTCTTCTCTCTCTTCTTCTCTCTCTTCTTCTCTCTCTTCTTCTCTCTCTCTTCTCTCTCTTCTCTCTCTTTCTCTCTTCTTCTCTCTTTTCTCTCCCTCTCTCTCTCTTTTCTCTCTCCTCTCTCTCTCTCTTCTCTCTCTCTCTCTCTCTTCTCTTCTCTCTCTTCTCTCTCCTCTTCTCTCTCTCTCTCTCTCTCTCTGTCTCTCTTCTCTCTCTTCTCTCTCCTCTTCTCTCTCTCTCTCTCTTCCTCTCTCTCTCTCTCTTCTCTCCTCTTCTCTCTCCTCCTCTTCTCTCTTCCTCTTCTCTCTCCTCTCTCTCTCTCTCTCTTCTCTCTCCTCTCTCTCTCTCTCTCTCTCTCTCCCTTCTCTCTCCTCTCTCTGTTTTCTCTCTTCTCTCTCTTCTCTCTCTCTCTCTCTCTCTCTCTCTCTCTCCTTTCTCTCTCTCCTTTCTCTCTCTTTTCTCTTCTCTCTCTTTCTCTCTCTCTTCTCTCTCTCTTCTCTCTCTCTTCCTCTTCTCTCTCTTCTCTCTCTCCTCTCTCTTCTCTCTCTTCTTCTCTCTCTCTCTTCTCTCTCTCTTCTCTTTCTCTCTCTTTCTCTCTCTCTCTCTTCTCTCTCTCTCTCTCTCTCTCTCTCTCTCTCTCTCTCTCTCTCTACTCTCTCTTCTCTCTCTTCTCTCTCTTCTCTCTCTTCTCTCTCTTCTCTCTCTTCTCTCTCTTCTCTCTCTTCTCTCTCTTGTCTCTCTCTCTCTTCTCTCTCTTCTCTCTCTTCTCTCTCTTCTCTCTCTTCTCTCTCTTCTCTCTCTCTCTCTCTCTCTCTTCTCTCTCTCTCTCTCTCTCTCTCTCTCTTCTCTCTCTTCTCTCTCTTCTCTCTCTTCTCTCTCTTCTCTCTCTTCTCTCTCACTCTCTCTCTCTCTCTCTCTTTCACTCTCTCACTCTCTCTCCCCCTCTCCCCCTCTCCCTCCCTCCCTCCCTCCCTCCCTTCATTCTTTTCTTTTCCTGGGTTTCGGCCTCTCAGGAGATGAAACTGACACACTGGAGCCACAGCACGTCTTACACTTCAGCCAGGGGCTTGGAGACACGCTGGTTCATGTGAAAAGCCTCTCGCTCGCTTTGTGCTTCGTGGATGGCTCATGTCATGTATGTCATGGACAGTCGTCAATTGAGTTTGAAATACGGATGTGAGGCCTGGAATCAACTGATCCTGGAATTCCAGCCGGTGACCGTTCTTTCAGACAGACAGGTGGGGATGGAGGGGCATGCGACTAAACGTCTGGAGGTCATGACGGTCGGTTGATGGGAGGGACATGGGTGGATTCAACGACTGCCCCCCCTTTACTCTTTGCGTAGGAACTTTCCGAAATTCCAGGCCGAAGCTGTGGGCTTCTTGTTGCTGGCGCCGCCCACCTTCGTGTTCACAGAGAAATCCTGCAACTTGGCTTTGGCCTCCACTTGTTGGAGTCTTGGGCGATTTTTGTAGTGGGAGGGCCGCCCTGTCCAAGGAGGGCTTTCGGGCCGGGCCCTCTAGCTCGTCGAAAATCAAGGCGGGCATCACCAGGCCCGCCGAGAAGGAGAACGAACCAGGAAACGGGGGGCCAGCCCCGAATCACGTGCAGTCGGGCGGCAAGGGTGTTTGGGAATTCTCTTTGCTTACGGCCCGTGGTGTACCTTTGTCCTTGGTTGGAACCAACTGGAATGGGCATGATGGCAGCCACACACTCGGCCAAGGCTCGTTCTGTTGCATCGGGGTCATGTCGAGTCAGGGTCAGCGGCACGGATTGCGAGTCCTCTTCTGGTCGGATGGGGAGCAGGCATATTTTATATATTGGAGTTTGGCCTATAGTTCTTGAAGCCTTGAAGCATTTTTGACATGGACACTTCAAGTTGACATCAGACTGCGATCTGCACTCTACCCGCTGTGGGCTCTCATAAGCCCTGGAAAAATCTCAGGCGAAGATCTGGTTCTCCAACGGACGCTGATGTCAGAAGACCTTCAGACCGGCCCGGAGACTCAGGGATTCCGGGGAGGGCAGGGCCAGATTTGGGGGGACAGGGGGACAACTGCTGGAATTCTGGGTCTGGAAGTCCGAGCCAAGGGCTTGCTTAGGGCTCGCTTGGGGCTGGGCAGTCAATGAGTCAAATGGACTTGGAAAGATGCAAGGCGGGAGATCTAGTGGGGGTGCGCCCTCTCCCGTCTCGTGCACTTGGACTCACTTGTGCTCCACAGGCGCAAGGGCTTGTTCGCCCGTGCCTTGAGCCCTCTGCCAAAGATTGAAAGCCGCAACTACCTGCAACCTGAACTTTCGCTCCCTATAAGACTCGATCAAGCACTATCAAACCTCCAGGCGAACTCACAAGCCGGCCGCTATTCCTGGAGGAGCGACCGGGCTGCGAGGCGCGGCGCCCGGTACTGAAGGTGTCTAATGGGGCATTTTTGGGGCTCGCCACTAGGCGCCTAGCCAACCCGACAAAAACAACAGCTGGAAGCAGCCTATGAAGCGGTTCGTGCAATATTTATGTAAGCCGCGGCATCTCGTTGTGTGCTTGTGCTCCACTACGGATCAAGTTGGAGTTTACTGTTCCGTGTCTGAGAGGGTTCCCGACTTGTGTACTCGAGGATTCAGGATCGCTGGAGGACTTCCGTCCCTTCACAAATTCTGCGGAGCTTTGCAGTCGGGATGGTTCAAGTCACAAGCGAATAAACAAGAAAAGTAAGATTGAGAGCATTTACGCCCCATCTACCACTGCACGATGGCACGATGGCACCCTCGTTCCCAAAGCCTCGTCCCGGCAACGCCGGCAACATTATGTACAAGTACTACTCAAGTATTTCTACATAAGGGCTGTCACTACTACGAGTATCGAGTATCGAGTATTGAGTATTGAGTACTGAGTGTGAGTATTGAGATGTATTGAGTATTGTTGCAAAGCAAAGCAGACGCTCAGGTTGTTTCTTCGGAGTGGTTGCGGGAAGGCTCGAAAGTGCGGAGATCAGGGGGGCATGCGGAAGCTCTTCGTGCCTGTAGGTGTATGCCACTTCTGCCTGTGGGGTTACGTGGGGCCCATGCCCATGGTTGGCTTTTTCCCGCCGACGGGGTCTCTTCAGCAGCTCTCCAGTGTAAACTCTAAAGGCGCACCTGAGCAGAAACATTGAACCGGCCAAGGGGGGTACTACCAGCACCAGCTGACCATCTTCCTTCCTCCACTTGTTGGCTTCCGACGCTCGGTTGAGAGCAGGCAGAGTCCGCAACGCCACCATCGGCGGAAGCATCACATCTTCCCGAAGTTGTGTGAGACCGCGAACCGCTGTGCAAGGCGCTATGCAAGCCCGCAGCAAGCAAGAATGCGCATCGAGTGCGCGTTGCTGTGTAGTGCCATGTTGTGCCTTGTGTAGTTTCTGATGCATGAGAGTGGCCCCCGGCAGAACACCCCAACAAGCAAAGGAACGGACTTGCGCTACCGCCTGGAGGTCGCGGTGCGGAAGCCCGGCTCACAGAGCTTAGCTAAGACTTAATAGTTTCATCAGGCTTCTGTATCTGTGACCATTAATCAAGGAGTAAGGTTTCGGTTGGCCTGTCTGCAACCCTCGGCCATGCTCAGTCCTTTTGTGACACTTGTGGCAGATCCAGATACGGTGTTGGCCCGGTGGCAGCAACGGGGCGATTTAAAGCTATCATGCCTCGTAGCTGATATCCAGGGACTGTGCAAAGGAATCCGCCTCTGCCCTTGGGCGCCGACCTCCTGAAGCGCGCGCTGCGCGACAAGACGTCGCCGAAGTTCTCCACGTGCCCTGAGCCGATGGATTGGGATCCTGTATTGTCTGAGGATGGGACCTGAAGCTGTAAGCTATCCTTTTTTTTGTTTTATTATTTTGTTTTCTTTTTGTTTGTGAGGCCCCCACCCTTTCACTGCTTTCCTCTGCCTTAGTTTGCCTCACCCCGGAAGTGTCTCAAAGGGGCTTGTGATGGTTTCCCTTGATTTCCCATAGTTTCCTTGCTTTGTGAAGGTCGCCATTCTTGGTTGCGGCTCTCAATGTTTGGCGAATCTGCACATTTGTCTGGGCGGCCGGCGACACTGGCAAAGGCGCTATGCATCCCTAAGCCAGTTTTGACACAGTTGTCAGGGTGGAGCAAGTCGCATATACCAGCACCCTTTCCAAGCTAAACGCGAACGCCTGCTCGAGCCCTAAATACCCGTAACCACAGCAGGCGATGTGCCGTTCGCAGTGGGCAGGGGAATGGCAGCCTTTGGTCGCTTGGGGGGCTCCTGGCCAGCAAGGATGAGGAGTAGAGTGGGGAGGGGGGGCGGAGGGGGAGGGGGGTGTTGTGTAAAGGCATGAAGCTGGCTGACGGCTGGAGGCTTTCACTGTGGAATCCGCAACACATGACGAAAAACATGAAAATGCAAAGGCATCTCGAAGGTTGACGAGGTGGCCTGGAAGGGTTTCGACGTGGTTGTGAACACCTGAGCCGAGCCGTGATTGAGCCACGACGACGCTTGGGATCGCGGTCTTCTCTGCATCGAATCTTGGGCTTCCACGAAGTAGTGTTTTGATAGGAGATGCCGGTGGTTGGCGCGGGCCGTTAGGATGGGAGCCATCTTTTGTGGATCTTTGAGGCAGAGGGAGTTTGGGCTTGATTCAAGCTTCAGGCTTAGGGGAGAATCCCAAGCCTCCAACCGTAAGCCGTAAGCCATGACGAAGGTTCACGCGCTCTTTTGCTCGGTCCGCTACGAGGACTACGATCTCTCGGTCAGGTGCCAGTCTCTTTTCTCGCATGTGCATTCAGGGTCCTTTCGGGGTTTGTGGCTGTGTCCGGTTTGTGTTGGCTTGGGGTTTGGGGTCCTAGTTGGTTGGTGTGTTTGTGGTTCGGTTGTCACGGGGGGTTGCGGGGGGGGGGGGGGGGGGTTTTCTTGCCAAGTGGTATTTTTCAGGTTTCTTCATGTTTGGTGTGCACGTGCCAAACATGTTTTCGCTTCAACACTCAAAAGCACACAGAACCCGAGGTTGTGCCTCGGCGCTGAGCTCGACACTGTCACGGCGAAGGCGCAGCGTGTTCCCCCGGCCCGCTTCGCAAACAATCCTGGTCTTGCAGCCTTAAGCAGGCAAACAGTATACAAACAGTTTTTGGGCAAATATTGAAGTCCCAGCGAACACACTGGGCAGTCCGTGTGCAAATCCTTGCAATCGTTAGACTCCCCTGGTCATGCAAGCGAAGTTGCAGCCCAAAACCCTGACCAAAACAAATCCTAATAACGGTCCGATCCTCCACGCCTTAACTGCTCGGAGGCTGATGAAGAGGGGTCTCTATAGTGATTGCGCTTGCAAAAGTGCGGGGAAATTGGTGGTGTCCGAGGAATTGAGGACCTTGGGACGCAAGCAGGATGTTTCAGCGAGGAATTTGCTCGACAGAGCGCAAGGTGACAATGCAAAATGTCGTCGCAAGCATCAAGACTCCTGGGATGTTACAGGTAAGATGTTACTCAGGCGGGGTAGCAACTGGGTAGTCCCAGTATGCAGGATATTGGGCCAGATGCAGCCTCAATCGCACCATGTCTCACGTGGGCCTCGCAGGACATCTCTGGTTCTTTCCACAAAACTGTGACAAAACCAAAGTTCATATAACATAGAACTCGTATAGTGAGTTCTCAAAAAGCCTCTGTTGGTTGTTTTTTAGTAGAAGGGGACACGAATCATGATCTGTGTCAACTTCATGTCTTCGACATGAGGCTGCGCCAAAGTACAGCTCCTTTTACCCCATTGTGGCGTTAGCATGGCGCTAGCTGCGCGGTAGCACTAATCTTAGAAGTGTTGGACAGTCGGACACCAGAAACAGGCCCGAAGGTTTGCAGGACTCGCCCAAATCCCAAGCTTTCAACCCCAACCCTCAACCCTTCAACCTCAACCCAAATCTCTCCCCCGCATATTGAAACATCGGCCTTGAGTGGGATTTGAGGCCAGCTTTGGCTGCGTGACTGTTGAAATTCAACGTCACCCCTTATACGCCTTATAGAATACATTCACGTTATATTGTCGTGAAGAGGTGCGCTAGCGCGTTTCCGAGGTACATGGGGTTTTAAATGCGAGTGTCACCTCCTGTATGGTAGGTTTTTTCTTGGACATGAGGCTGTCCCCTAAGTACACGCACCGCGATACCTTGAGTTTTGGATGCGTAGCATTTTGAAAAATGCATCTTGAGAAATGACCAAAGGACCGCTCTCGCCTCTCTTGTTTGCGAGGCAGCGCAGCTGCGACCACTGCCCGTACTCGTTGCGCCGCTTCTTGAAAGATCAGCGCCTGTGCTGCAAGTGTTCGGAGTTGTCCCTCTGCTTCGGGCACACTCGGGCCTTGCTACGCATGGCTAGACGCGCATGGCTATGCGCACGCATGGCTGAAAGCATGCATGGCTATGCGGACGCATGGCTGCACGCGCATGGCTGGACGGATGGCTTGACACGCATGGCTATGCACGCGTGGCTATACACGCATGGCTTTACGCGTATGGCTACACACGCATGGCTATAGATACGCATGGCTATACGCATAGTAACTACACATGCATGGCTGTACACGTGGCTATGTATGAGGAAGACATCTTTGCTGCAACGTGAGGTGGTGGCGGCACGGTGGCTACTATGACAGCTGTGTTGCAATGCTGCGTGCTTTTGCGGCTTACAAGGGCAAACTGGGCGAGCGAGATGATGTGAGATGCGGGAAGCACTACTTTGCCATGGACTGTTGCGTCGTGCCGTTCGCCTCCGTCCGCCTAGCTAAGGTGCACGGGGAAGGGTAAATGCTGAATCGAACTTACCAAGCCCAGAGGCGACCGAGTCAAGCCCCGCGGTGCGCTGGCAGATCCTCGACTGAAGTTGGCCGGAATCTCGCTCTCTGCAACATCCACATCCAGAGCTCTGCTCAGCAGTGTCGGGACCGCGTTGTGCCACATGATCGAGGACTCATGAAATCGATCGTCACAGCAAAAAGGAGAGCGCCGCAGACCTAGGTAAATAAATGGTTGCAAGGGCTCTAAACCCCAAGACCTCGCCTCACACGATGCTAACCGTCGCAACCAGCGCTGACGCCGAAGATCTGCGACGCAATACACTCCCAACCTAGTGAAACGGAAACATTACCCCCAAAGGCTCAACCCTGACCTGGCCTCTTCCCCGATTAGTAGTTGCTTGGGGAGGGCTACTGAGCACTTGGAGGGTGGAGTTGTTCAACTTGAGGGTGGGCCCTGAACCCCAAACCCAAGCCTCAGCCCTCAAATTTGGTTTGCCTCGAAAGCTTACGGATCCAGAGCTTGAGAATGCGGATAACAGCAGAAACCTGTGCCGCGATGGATTCGCGAAAGTTCTGCGAAAAATGACCTTTTCTTTTCCGCAAAGGAATTATCGGATGAAGGAATTTGAAATAGTGTTCACATAGGGTTTGTAACAAAGCCGATCTCTTTTCGACCTCCGTAGGCTTTGGTTGTTTGCAGCGCCCATCGGACTCGAAAAAACCAAAACCACAAATCGCGCTTTTGTCGAGGTCCGTGCACTAAGTGCACTGCGTACACTTACAGGACTCGCTCCGCGTGTAACCCGCTGGGAGTGCATGGCCTTGGATTTGAATTTTGAATTGCGGTAACTGTGGTCCCATTTTGTTTGGGGTCGCCAGTCTATGCCGGAGAAAGGCGGATGAAGGGAGGATCCAAGCCCTTGAGCGTCTTGACCCTAAGCACTGGAGCGAACACCGCCCTCGACCGCACCAGGCTCACAGCAAGGAGAACATGAAGCGCATCATGGAGTAGGTGCCAAGAGATTAGCTTCGATCAAAAACAATTATACCATGGCGCGGAGTTGCAACGTAGAAGACACTTGACGCCATCTTTCCGGACCCTCGACAGCCCCCGAACCCTTTTTCAGACCCTTGAGTCCTCGACAAGGAGACTTCCTGTCGTTCTCTTAATTACTTGGCCTGGGCAGAACCAGCGACCATCGGCTAAGCCGTGGCGCTTGTTCGCAAGCCATGGTGCCCGCCCCAGTCCTCCAGGGGAATGATGCAAGTTCCAGGGTTGCTTTGCATTCAGCAATCTTCACTAACATGGAATTTACGAACCTCCTCAGTCCACCTGCGCGACATAAAATGCGCGACCCCAGTATCCATACCAATCAGGCGCTGCCTATGCGGGAGGATGTGGATTCACTGAAGGTCTACCGCAACCTGCTCCAGAAGGACTCGGGCCCTCTAATCTAATCATTCCCATCCCAGGCTCAGAGCTTTGCAGGGTCAGGAGGATTCACATCTGCAATGGGGAACTTGGATTTTTGGAGCAGCTTCAGGATTCAGGGCACAATGGTGCGAGTCTTTCTGCTCGATCTGGTACCGTTCCCAAACCATGGAGCTGTCTGTTGAGGGCCACGGAGCTTTGAAGTGCAATGAAAGTAGAGCATGCATATGGATTTGCTTCCTCGTCCCCCGAGCTCTCTTTGAACTCGGCCCGGCGCCATTAAATTGCCAAGAACAAGCTTGAGGCTAAGCAATGCTGAGCATCAGCAGAGCCAAAAGTTGCCACACCTTGCCCGATCAAAACGCTCAAACAAAATGTCTTTCAAGTCGCCCAGGAGCGTCTCCTTGCCACACGATGGAGGAAGCAGGTGCCGCGGGCTCCATTCTGCTGTTGCAGCGCACTGCTGGCCTCAATTGCCTCGTCTAGGCTGCTCTTGATGGAGGTTTGCAGCTTCGAGATCCTTATAGAACACCAAATGGTAAAGAACAAGTTCCTTTTGGGGTATCTGGACTTGTTGACGCTAACGCTTGCCCCAGGGCCAGAATCACTCAACTTCTCAGTCTCGATGTTGCCAACTGGCTGCCAGCTTCACCGGCAGAACATGCTCTTGAACTGCCTTTGAACTGCTACAACAAATGGTTGAACAATGTTAAGCATATCCTTCTTATTCCCTTTGGTGGCTGAACGCAATACGGGCTTGGGTTCAAGTCAGGAGGACTACTCCGTGTGGAAAACCCCGTCACACTCGCATCACGAAAGCTTCCTGAAACCCGGAGACGGCACGGTCCTCAGCAGAGCTCGTGTGAGCTGTGTGGCTGTGTGAGCCGAGAGAGCAGAAACCGAATCGTAGTTTTTACAAAGTTGGGCAAGATGGATTGCAGGCGTGAGTTGTGTTTTTAAGCTTCGGGTTGGAAAGTTTTGGAGTTCGTCCGTTTTTTTCCATTTGGAGCTTCTGCAGCCTTCAATCCAAACTGTGCCTCAGGTGTCAGGATGAGTGTCAGCCGGAGCCATCCAGAACTGAACGGCGCCTTGCACTTAGAGCGATGCAATGTCAGAGGTCCTCGTGCTTCAAGGAAATCTCCTCAAAGAAAGCAACTTTGGCTTGTTGGTGTCCTCTGTTTCACTCCGTCCTTGGTGTCGCAGCACTCCGCGACGCCTTGAGACCGAAAGCGTGTCATATTCCATCACATCCCCGGTGTGCATCAGTGTGCCAAGGCCAGCGGAACCGTCCTTTGCGTTGACCGGCCCACGGATGGCGGCTTTGTTACGGTACGGACCTCGCCCCCGCAGATATGCATGGAATGTTGCTGCATGGGTATGTACGGGGTTTATAGTTATATGGCTGAGCGTCCGCGTGAATCAGAACATTTTGCGCGCATGCACAGTGCAGACGTAGCAGCAAAGGAGCAGTTACAGCGGTCATCAGTGGTCAAAGTTTTGTGACAGTTCTCGCAGGAGTATCTCACGGAATCTCACATCGGTTCTAACTTGAGAAGGGCTCATACGGCAAAACGAGATTCCCGGAAGCCTTGGCCTTGGCACACCCTTTGTTGCCACCTATGGCCCGGCCCTTGAGCCAACCACAGACGGTCACAAAACCTTAACCCTTCAAACTTTTGAAGCCAATGTAAAGAAAGAGCACGAAGACGCGAAAACAAACAAAACAACTCGGAAGAGCTGAGCGTCAGCCGCGCCACATGCTCGCCTTCTGGGTGCTCCTCTTGGCCGGCGCGGCAGCGCAGCGGCCCGTGATCATCAGCACCGACCCAGGCGCCTTCCCGCTTGGGGGGGGGGGGGGGGCTGTTTAGGGTTTTAGGGTTTCACGAAGCTGGAGCTTTTCGAGCTACAGGGCAGGGAGGGCAGCACCACCGCAGATTTGTTTCACCTCGCAAGCCCTTGCCGCCTCCTTTGGCCAGGAATCGACGATTCGATCGCGCTGCTGTTGGCATTGGCGTCGCCTGAGTTGGACGTTCGGGCGGTGTGCAGCATGTCAGAGCAAGTCGGCAGTGTGTTTACAGAGGTCTAAAGTCTAAAGGTCTACAATTTTGAGCCGCCGTGGTCCAAACGTGCCTGGAGCCTCTAGACTGCCTATCTGTCTGTCTAACTACTCTGTCTCCTATTGCGACACTCTACTTCTAGCTGCTAGCTCAGGGTTGTGCAAGCGCAGGAGCCGTTCGGCATGTGAGTCTGACACGAGGAGCATGAGCAGTAAATGTCGTCTAATACTGAAACTCCAGCCACTCAAGCGATACCCTCCTTGCATTGGGTGGTGGGTGTGGGTGTGGATGGTGGGTGTGCACATGCGCGTGGGTGGGTGCGTGTGCACATGGGGTGACAATGAATGGCTGGAGGGCAAGTTGGTTTCAGAAGCGTCTTGGAGCTCCAAAGGTATCAATTTCGGCTCGCTTCACAATACTTCGCAGCTGGCTCCCTGGCAAAACACCCGTGGGCCTCGGTGAGGCTTTGAGGGCTCAGGCTGTGGGTGCCCTCTTGCCTCCCTGCAACAAGGGTTGAAACATACGCTCACAGTACCATCAGCCCGTGACCGCAGTAATGTCACAACAGATGTCATATGATGTCATAGAGAGGCCCGTTTCCCGACCAGCCGACAGCACGTCACCTGGGGACCAAGAGCCCCACTGCCCCCAAAATATCCCTGAATCCCTTGACCCGGAGTTGGGAGCTGGGAGTGTCACGGGACACAGCATAGAGTTCGAGTCCAACCCATTATTGCCCATAATATTTGGAGCCACGAGCCACGAGGCACGTAGAATTTCTAATTGTTTTTCAGGTGCGGGGTTCGGGAGTCCGGGTCCGGGCCGGGTCTTGCAAGCCCGCAAATGGCCAAGTTATAAAGCCCCTAAAGCCAACTGCTTGCCAAGGCGCAGAATGCTTTGGACATCCTGGTGCTTGGATATGTTGGTTTTGGAGTTGTTTTGGGGTTCCTACTGATCCTACTGATCCTACTGATCCTACTGATCCTACTGAGCATGTAAGAGTTTGCTCTGAGAACTTTTGCGAGCTCACGTAGAGGCAGAGGATCAGCGACTGCTGCCAGCGTAGGTCATGTTATTCACATTAATTGGCCCAATTATGTTGCCTGTTTCTGCAGGCACTTGCCGGGCGTGAGGACATCCCTGTGTTCCTGGGCGCCACGAGCCTTGGCACGCTTGACTCTTGTGGGTTGGGGTTTGAGATGCGCTCGAGATGGTGTGAGGGTTTCACAATATTTAGGTTTTTTCGGCTTCTTCGAATTCAGGGTCAGTGGACAAGAGGTTGGCGGCTCAGCACTAGATTCGCATGTCCTTCCTCAAGATCAAGGTCATCACCTATGCTTGAGATTCGCATGTCCTTCCTGGCCCTTGCCTCTTCCTTGCCCCTAAACCGGAAACATTAAGTGCTTTACACCGCGCTTTGCCCTTAACCCTGGCCTTCAGCCTAAACCCTTCAGCCTGAATGCAAAATGAGTAGAGTATAGGGTTTAGGGCTTATGCTTCCTGCGTGAAGTATAGGGCTTAAGGCTCATTTATAGCCTAGCGTTTAGGGCTTGGGTTTCAGGGCTTAGAGTTTAACGTGGAGGGTTTGAGGTTCAAGGTGCGCGGGTCAAGGTTCAAGGCTTACGGTTAGGTGCCAACAGGTACATGTTTGCAACGACACTTCCGCGGTGATGTATCCTCAGTATCCTCAGCTTGCGAGTTCACTGGCGCTAAGCTCACAGAACCTTTGAGAGGCCATTAGCGATTCTTCTAGAAGCAGCCTTGCTGGCGCAATGCCCGAAGCAGGGTGAGCTTGTCCACCCCACTCAGGCCACTGTCCGAGAAATCAGAAGTAAGATCTCTTGTACCTGAATTGCATGTGCTTTGTTTCATGAATACCAGGACCTGCATGGCTCTGCCATTCTTTCACAGACCCTGGGACACATCCCCAAGACTCCCGACTTGGTGCCTACACACCTGGTATCACTCTACTACATGCCCTACACGCATCTACAACCCCCCAAAAAACTTCAGGGATCCCATCTCGCAACCTTTTCACGACCTTGGCGGGCCGAAGTTCCATGGCACGGACGGTCTCGGAGGCGGGGCCGTCTAGGGTTTCTGGAAAGCAGTTTTGGCAGGCTTGGCCTCCAATGTCAAAGCCGAACGTTACAAAACCCCCCAGCAGGCCCGGCCCTAAAGCCGCCCTTCTAAACACGCCGTCCTTCACTTCGAAATCAGCTTCTGGAGGCGTGCGGCTCCCCCACTCACGGGCGACCGTGAACACCTCTGTGAGCGCCGTGGAGTTCATCGTGCACGCCTGCGTGGATCTTGGAAGGGATTTGCAGGGACCTTGAATTCCTTTCCGAGTGCTGCTGTGTCCGGCTTCCCAAAAACTCAGTTCAAGGTCGACACAAACTTCTCCGGATCTTAGGTCGCAGCTGGCAGCCTGCGCCGCTGCTGGTGTCCCTTGCGCCCCTGACGAACGTGGCCTTGGCCTTGAGCCACGGTTTGGTTTGGATGAAGGTCTTGGTTCGGCTGGGCCTTTTTGCTCGCTTCTTGACCATGCCCCATGACGTCTCACCCTCGTCTCAGACGTGTTTGCTTGCTCACAAGGGGTCCTTTTCGCTAATTGTTCCCTGTATTTCAAGGAGCTCTGGCGATACATGGGATGGACGTGCGGAAATGATCACGGCTGTACACGTGTAAGCACACATCATAGGGTGCCCAGGGCTTATATGTCACAGCTACAGATCTTGCAAAAAATTTCCGTGAATACTTAAATCTCCACGATCGGATGTGCAGCGTTCCTTGTATTGGTCGTGAATCCTTTCGCTCCTTTTCGCCCTGCTGCGAAGGAATTTGGACCCCAAGCTGCCCGAGAGGTGCCCTGCATCCTGGCAGAAGCAAATTTTAATGTGGGAGAGTTGCAGAAAATGAGGACAGGGCATACAGGCGTGCAGAATGTGCTCCAAGTCCCAAGCCCCAGCGGGAACCCTGAGGCCCCCGCACTTTCATCCGAGTTTTGCAGAAACATGCGTCAGGATCTGTTTTTGATGGGTGGCACCGTGGCCGCGCCTGGGAATGTGGGCCCGATGTCGGAGGAGCACCTTCGAGTGAATTCTAGTGGTTTGGGGTTTTCCCATAGCCTGATGCCGACAGGCCAACATTGCCAATGACCCGGAGGCTCTTGCCAGGGCTTGTGCTTGACGATGACCGGATGACCCATGACGTGAGGACTTCTCAGATTGCCGTGAGTGAGTGAGCGACCGGATGACCCTCCATGCAGTGACTCTACAGGCAGCTGCGCGTGTGCTCTCTGCTGGCTTCAATACGCAGGCAAGCAAAGCACGAGACATGCATCGAAAGGCTGTTGCAATTTCCTGTTACCGGATCCACTGTTTAGCTGGGGCTTGTTCCAGATACCTCGGAACCAAAAATCCAGGTGGCCGCGCTGGATGTCACGATGGCGTCCTGGTGCCTCTTTGAGTATACATACTCGACCAATAGACCAACTGTCCTTGTGGGAGGAAACAGAGTGGGTGAGTGGTCAGATGTGGTCTGGTTGATTGGGAGCTTGATTCAGGGCGGTCTCCGTAGAGTGAAGGCTGCCGCCGAAGTTCCTCGCCTCTCTGCGAGACCTTCCGAATGACGCAGGCGCCCCTGCCCAGCTTCAGGATGTTTCACGCGTTTGAATGCGTGGGCTGGCACACGCAGCCTTGCAATGCCTACAAGACAGCAGGGGCATCCACAAACCCCAAACGGCACAAGCCCTAAACATCGGGTCTGAGGCTCTCTTTGACCCTGAGGTGTAACCGCCCAACAGAACTCAACTGCACAGCCTCTGCCAGTAGAGGCTTTGGAACGAAGTGAAAAAAGCACTAAATCAGCGAACGAGGTGTTACCATCGTGTTGAAAGTCCTAGAAATCCGTAAGGATCCGTAAGGAAGACGACTCAGGATATATTACCCAGTCCGAAGCCTTGATCTGAACCAATAAAGGTAAGTTAGAGGACTCTCCAAGAGCACTCCCGTTGAAGATCCTGGCAGGTCCCTTCATCTGGCAGTCGACCCGCTTCTATGAGCGGGCTTACGAGACGATCGGCGGGTTCGAGGGTGGCATGCCATTGCTTCTGGGACTTGAGTCCGTTGAGAAACTTGTCCCCGAAAGCTCTCAGCTTTCCCTTCCCTGAGTTGACATGAGTGACAGTCAGACGTGTCCCAAATCGATCACCTCTTACAGCCATGTTTTCATCTCGCCTCTGGTGAAGCTACAGGCATGATCCAACGACGCTCTTGCTGTACCTGAAGCCTGAGCCTCCCAGTTGCAAAGTCAGGAGGAGCACAGCCAGCAATTTGGCCGAAATGCGCACTTTTCCTGGCCTGTCCAGTGTCAGGCTCTACCAGCTCCACCGTTGGCCAGTGACTGTGGACACTAGCCAATATCCAAGTGCCCCTTTGCCTGCATGCAATCGATGCCACTACCGACCCAGAAATGATGACACTTCCGCTTGACTCCATAAAGTGAAGCCCGAAACGCCGAAGTCATCCCAAATCCTACCCTGAACCACAAGAGGGTTGCAGGGGCTCATCAGTAGGCGGCAGGCGTATGCTGAGTCCAGCCTGGGGTGGGCAAGAGATAGGTCGGTCTCGGCACTTCTCAAGCCTTCTCACGACTTCCCCCTGAGCGACAACGTTGCCTCAGCGGCACTTTTTTTCTGATTCACTCCCCGGCAATGCTCGAAAGAACAAGCTACATACTTACATTTACAAAGCTGTAACAACTCGATTGTTGGACTCTTGGGCTGTCCCTCCCAAATCCTTCAACCACAGGTCTCCCGCGGAATTTTGGTTGTCGACCGCCGCGGTGGTCCCAAAAGCCCGCCTCCACCCGACACTGACAAGGCATGATGCGACATTGTTTGTCGGGGATGGCTTGGGGTTTCATGGGTGAAGCCGAACTTCCATAACTCTACTGTGAACAAGCCAAATCAGAACCAAAGCCTAAAGACCTCCTTCAACCATAGACCTCGAGAACCTGATCTTTAGATTCAGATGCGAGCGCAAAGAGCACGCGGAGGTGCACTTCCCCATGCAAGTGGACGTCGCCGGCGTGCAGGAGTTCCTGCTCTCCCGGCTCCGTGCGCTTCCCGCGGGACGCCTGCAAATCCTCTCTGAGTAGAACCCATGCAAATGGCCCGGGAGGAAAAAAAGCATGAAAAAGGTCCTTGTCCTGTCCGGGTTCCTTCCCACACGTCCAAGCAGAAGAACAAAAGCCCTTGCAAAAGGCCTCAACAGCGGCCCATTGAAGCCACAGACGAGTCTGTGTGCATCATGTCTACTGCTAGGCACGGCAAGGATCCATCTAACACAGGGCTCGGGGAATATTTTGCTGAAACTGTCGTGCTTTGCAGTTTGATAGCTTCTTGCAATATAGCAAACATCTGCAGTAGCATCACATGCCGCAAGCCAACGATACGCGTCGCAAGATTGTACTGTTGCAACATCTTGCAAGCGCGCGTCGTGCTAGTCGGCCTCTGATATCTGACAGCAGCATCGTGGGTTTCAATCACGAGCAGCAGCTGCTTGAGTGGGAACGATTCTCGCATCACATGCAGCTACACCTGCATTGCTTTAGTAGCGGTTGCCAGTTTTGTTCGTTTCATATTCGAAACACACTTTAAAAGTCTACTTCTTTGCGGTGCGACTCCTTGGAACGCAGTACGCAGCCCTTGGACTTCACTGCCTGCATCTGTCGGCTCCTTTGCCTTTGGCACCCGAAATCCAAAGCCCTCCTGAACCCAAACCGACACCCCAAATTTCCGCACTCAAGCTCTCCCGTGACTCTCCAGGTCCGGATGTCCTCGGCATGGCACCCAGCTGGGTTTGCGGGTGGGATGTTGTGATGTGGCAATGCTGCCAGTCTCTCTCTCTTGTCACTAGTCGTGTCGATAGTTTGTTGGGAAGCTGGCAAAAAGACACTTGCGGCAGAAAAGTCCTACCATCTTCTATTGAAACACTGAAGTGGGACATGTTGCGGCGCGACATGTTCTGAGGCAACTGGACCTTCGAAGAAGCTGAAGGTGGGAAGCGCTCGTTGACTGGACTTGCTATGCCTGACATACCGACCTTTCGCAACAAGTTGGTGCATGCAAAAGATGTCCAGAAGTTGACGTGCAGGATGGCATTGCTGCGGCATGAGCACATAAAGCTAGGGCCGTGTGCTGCCAGGTGCGGCCGTCTCTGCTACTTCCTGGCTGCTCGGCCAAAATGACATCACGCGGCAGTCGGCGCGAAACTTCTGATCTGCAACGGTAGACGGCAAGGGATTTGCAACAAGAACTGTGGCAACTGCGGCAAACTCCTGCGGGCATTCTGCCAAGCACCAAGGCAGAAGCACCAACGGCAACTCGCCAGGCAAGATAGGCTACTTTCAGGCAGTGGATTCAGCTCATTCTGCCAAGCAATCAAGATCAGATTCGCAGGATCTCGCAGGCACCCCAAACTTCAAAACCAAGTGATGGCTTCTTCGCTCATTTTCTCACTGAAGAAGGGGCTCCTGAGCATTCACACGATTGCCCATAAAAAGGACTAGTAAACGGCTCTCGATCGCCCTGAACCCCCCTTCTCCGCAGCACAATGCGAATGCGGTATACGGTATGCCCCGGTTTTTCAGCGCACGCACTGCAGCAGTGAGGTCCCCTCCCTGGCCCTGGCGAGGCCAGTGCGCCGGGACCACAAGATTCGCGTTCTTTCTCGTGGTTTTTGGGCTCCGGGCCTCGAGGGTGCGAAGGTCAAAGGCGGCGAAAGGGATCCAAGGCTCAGACATGATTCGCATGTTTCAAACAACAGACGACAGGGTCCTTCGGCCATCTTCTGTCCATTTCTGTCCCACTCTTTGTTTCTCATTCTCAGACACCATGAGGTTGGGCAAGCAAATGGATCCCATGCGGCGGACGTGGCATTAGCCACAAGTGTCACGCCGGGCCTCCATGCACCTATGTGGGCTTCTATGGGCGAAGGCGGCCATTGGCTTTCAGCACGGACACGATTGTGAAGAAGCGACTTGTGGCATCCACAACTGGATCGCCCGGCAGCCGCTGGTCGAGAAAGAGATGAGAAGATGGCAGGTTTGTTGGGTCCTTGTAGGTGCTGACATTCGAGGTGGACTTGAGTGGGTTGTGGGTGGGCTGGGGGGGGGGGGTCTGCAGCGGAATGCGATTTCGTCCTGCAAGCCCGCAAGCCTCCTCGCCTTAAGCATTTCGGCCCAGAAGCGAGATGTGTGTAGTTAGGTTTTGCAAGGCCTCCGTGGTTCTTCCAAGCTACTTCCTAACTCGGATGAACTCGGCTTGAGATGGAATGTGCCTTAAGCCTTGATTCAAGAAATCGCCACTTAAACATACTTAAACACAACTGCTCCATTGCGTTTTTGCCATGGGTTGCTGTCTGTCTTCTTCGGTTGACGCCTTTGAAGGAGGCCATGCTTTGGCTCCAGGGTCTCCTTCCAAACTGCCTCCTCTCGTGAAAAATTGGTTTCATTGCCAATCGCAGGGCTAGTCACCGTAGGTCCTTCCTTAGTCGTCATGCCTTGCTATGCGCATTCCTAGGCATTCCTCATGAATCACCACGAATGCCGCCTTATTTGCCTTGTATGCATTGCCGATGCCTCAAACACACTGAAAAACCCACAGTAGTTGCCTCTGGGTGGTTCTGGCAGGTGATCCTGTTCGGCCGAAGAGGAAAGGATTCCTGCCATTCGTTCGCTTCGACAAAGCTGTGGTAGCGCCACAAATCAAGGGCGGCGATCACGTGTTCCTAGTTTCTAAGCTGTTTTCGAAAGAAGGTTTCTGAGGCTTGTATTCTATGTCCTGTACCCTCAAGAAAGAGACCCTTTTCGTGTGGTTTTTTGCCAGGGCTTCCGGAACAGAAAAGGTTTTCACGTACTCGGAGGCTGCCATTGAAGGCAAGGAAGATGGAAGCGTGGCCGCCGATGACAAGGAGCTGAAGAGCTCATGCCTCTTCCGTGTTTGGCGAAGAGATGGAACAGATGCCATTTGCAAAGATGGTGACGACGTCTTCTTCGAGCACTTGGACACAGGCAAGTTTCTCGAAGCTGCCACGGACACGAATCCGCTGGCCTTAGCAGACAAGGATGAGAGCTCATCTGGCCAACTTTTCGGCTTCTTCAAACAGGGTCGGCCCATCGAAATGAGACACCGGGACACGGTGTACCTGCAAACCTGGTTGCACAACTACATCGAGTACAGGCTCCATTTGTCATCTGTGTTGAAGTAGTTGTGGAGGGTTCGACCCGCAATCTGTAGTTAGATTTTGAGCCAGGTTCCCGCTTCCTTTGCGCAGGTATTTCGAGGACAGCAACTTGTACGCGAAGAGATGGCAGAGACGCGAGCCGCAGACTCTCACAGTTCTTAAGAAGGCGGTCTTGGACTCTTCCACCACCGAAGCGGCCCGGAGGTTCCAATTCCAAGCTTTCGACTTGGATGGAAGCGCAACGATCAGCAAAAGCGAGATTGACATGATGCTTTCGCTCATCAGAGGTAAGGGCCCCAGATATGCAGTGGGACATAGTGGGACACAAAGGTTTCCGAAAGAGCTCCCCCCCCCCCCCCCCCATGTGCCTTCTAAGACAGGCAGCAGACTCTTGGGGCTGTGGCTCAGGTGCGGAGCCAAGCGCAGATGAAGTCGAGGAGATCATGGCCAAGGCTGATCCAGCCCCTCGGCAAAAGGCATTCTTGATTCATTCTTGATACACGTTTAAGCCCAATGGGACCAGTATTGACCCTGATCCTTGAAACGCCAGGTCCGAAGCTCCAAGCCCTATGACTACGACATAATCATGTTGTCTCTCCCCACTCGAGCTTTCCACAAAACTGCAATTACCAAAAAGGACCTTCTCTCAAAACTCCCAGGCATGCACGGGTGGCATCCCCTTTGCGTCCTTTGCATCCTGGGCGGATGCCGGGGGCTTGTCGGAGGAGGAGCTGAACCACGCTGAGGTGCTGGGCCCCTCGGCTTCCAAGCTCTCTAGACCATGCAGTCGTGCATTTTTTTTGTGTGTTGAACGATAGTGTGTAGCTGCGGCTACTGCATGCTCTGCCAGGGGTTGTAGGGTTTGGGGTGTATAGGCAGGTAGAGGCGTAGGCCGTAGGCGTAGGGTCTGCTATGACTCGGTGCCGGAGATGATGTGACAAATTCAAGATGCGCATGGGGCCCCAATGGCTTTGCTCGCCGCTGTGCAGAGCCGTGTCGTCTATCGTATCCAGTATCAGGGCCCAGCAATGCCCAGCACAGCCTTTTCAACGGACATCTCTTTGTTTCTGGAAAGTTTCTGGATCTTTCCGGTTTAGCACGAAGGGACTGCTTGGATTCTAGTTAGGCCGCTTTAGCACCATCCTTTTGCTGTCTTAGGGAACGTGGCGCAGAGATGCTACGATGCCTTGCATGAGGACAAGTGCCTTGTTGAGGCCTCGGAAGAGTGCAAGATGCATGTCACGAGTGCTGCCTTAAGTTCATTTCCCAGAGTATTCACTCCCAAGCCCGCAAGTTGCCCACCTAGGGTAGGGATGCTGGTTTAGGAACCGGTTCGCACAGTGGTAGACCATGGTACAACCTTGTTCACCGAACGGTGCAACAATCTTGGTGATTTGAGCTGTATGGCGAAGTCTAACAGATGTGAGAGCCTGCAGGTACTGGGCACTGTTGATGCCAGGACCGTCCAAGGCATGATCTCCCAGTATGCAGAGAACCTGAAAGCAGGACGGTCCTTTCAAGAAGAGTGTAGATGAGTGTAGATGCATGTAGTACGGTATATTATCAGTGCATGAGCAACATACTTCTAGCTGCATGTTCTCAACGTCTTGCAGAATAGCCCTTAGTCTCAGCCAGGGCTTCCACCGCGCTTAGGAAGCCTGAGCGAAATCCTGGTGGAGAAAGCAGGGGCGAAGTGTGAGGCCCAGGTTTTTGCGCCTGCGGCAGCCTGGGTGCACATGTGCTGCGTGCCCAGATCCTGTGTTGGCCCGCCCCTTCCGGCCCCCTCCCCACCCCCCCCCCCTTCCCAAAAAAAGTTGTAAACATTGTTACTCTCCCAGTCCATCGGGAAGATCTTGCAAATTACTGCTCTCCACGGAGTCCAGGTCAGATGGCTGGTTCTTCTCGGGGCACTGGAAAAATTGCATGATGGCATTGCTGGAGCCAGAGGTCGACCTTTGGGTGCGCTGCCTCAATGATGCAATGAGGGGCTGGGGCACCGACGAGAACTCGCTGTCGGCCTTGGTGTTCCCTAGCTGTTTTGGTCAGGATGTCTCTCTTTTGCTTCGCAAAAAAAGGCTGGCGTAGTGCCAGTATAGTCCACCGAGTTTTGTCTATAGAGTGCTCTATTCAAACTCTATTCTCCACGAACGAGAAGACTGTCCACGAACGAGAAAACGGTCAGAGTAGATTTGACAACATTGTTGTTTCAATTCAAATTTCTCAAGAGGTGCACCCTCCCAGAGCGCCTTCGGGTACCCATCTTCCAGAAGTATCAGGAGTTGGAGTGAGAGAGTGTGAGAGGAGTAAGAGCGGAGAAGAGGGGCGCACGCTTTTTGCTTTGTTTTCTTCTCTCAACCTTCCGGTTGCAAAATCAGGCAACCTGATTTAGCAAACAGCAGAGAGCGCCTAACACTTCAGGAGACAGTCGGGAAGGGCCTCCTGGAACACATCGAGAGCGATACGTCTTTCAGTTATAAGAAGGCTCGGAGCTCAGGCAATATTCGTGCTTAGGGTGTGGGTTGTGTATCGTGCCCTACCGTGCCACAGCGCAGCCCCAAGGCACTCTAAAAGGGGAAGCTACTGAGCTTCACTGCTTCGAGAAATACAATCCGTTGAAGCCTGACCGTGCACCTTGAACTGTTCTAAATGCGTCATGGTTTGGAACTGCACAAACTTGACGTCCAGACCGCGCCATGCGGCGCTCCTGCCCCGGCATTCTAGGGCTTCCCCCCCCGAAATGTCGTCAGAGAATCTCTTTTTCTGCCGCAGGTCATGACTTGGCAAGCAATGTCTCCGGAGGAATGTCGCGCGAAGATCCTGAACAAAGCTATGGTTGGCCTGGGAACTGCTGAAGATCAGCTGATTCGAGTGATTTGCCAGCTGAACTTTGGCGAGCGAAGGGAGGTCAAGGAAGCCTATCAGCGCATGTACGACAGAGACCTGCCTTGGCCAGTTCCTACGACTCCGGCGTTTTTTCAATCTTTTTGCTATGTACTTCCTGCTTGTACATTTTCAAAGGGGGCGAGCAGTTCGATGTTCAGCAACGGAACTGTAGGCATTCTAGGCACTACTACTGACCCTCACTAGAATTCAATCGTCAACATGTGTCACCTGAGGAGACTTGCTGGAGCACATCCGCTCCGAGACTTCTGGGGACTTCCAGAAGGCCTTGCTCGCCATGTTGGAGGCGGGCATAGGGGACCATAAGGGACCATCCCAAGCTTCCCTCGAACTCTTGAAGTGCTTGTCTGAGCAGCTCAGCTTCATTCAGAATCAACCGCAATGCCCGAAGCCATGCCCTGGCATCCTTGTACTACCCTCCGTCACCTGCTGCGTAGCGCCTTGGGGGGAAAGAGGTTCTCCGACTATCCGAGCACCGACCCGCACCGCACAAATTGCAGATCTCATGGTCCACGTGCACTCGGCACACAAATACCATGCAGAACAAATGATCCTCGCACCCCACCAGTGCCTCTTCGGCTTCCAGCAAGGCTTCCCCGTCACGAAGAGCAACATCATAGTCCCTTACCGCGAGCAGCAGACCGACAAGGATCTACCCAGGCCTCACACTGTCGGATGCCCCACAAGGGATATTCTCTCGGATGGCTCATCCAGTGGCGTCTCATCCCAGATTTCCGAACTCAGCGATGACGATGTCCATTCACTCTGAGTGCTTTCGCTGTCTGACTCAACAAGTTTGATCACAGCGCGGGCATCGACAAGAGATGGAGTCAAACCCGCATCCAACACATGGTGCTGTGCCTGCCTCTGCATACCATTGAAGCACAGAACCTGGCCTTGAAGTTGCATGTGAGATCACCCAAAATACGGCTGTGCCTCCATACACAAGGGGCGCTGCGGGGCTCCAAGGAACGCCAACAAGGAATGCATGGTCGTGTTCACACGTCCTACAATTCCAAGCAGTTACCTGTGCACGCACCTTGAATCAAGTTTGCATCGGCTGCTGAAGCAGCTGTCACTCCACAAACGCACCTCCTCCCGCTCCTGATCTGTTTTGCATCACCTTCCTGAAGAAGCCCACGAAGTGTTGTGGGGATGCTCCATCCATTTCCAGTACTGCTCCTGGATAAGCTCACACTCCCACAGCTGACCCTTGTTTGCATGCTTCATCTGACCCTGATGCCCACAAACGACGGCACCACAGCACTGGCCTTCGCGGCCCTGGTTTGGCTTGAGCTTACCATCTGTGGCCTGCGCCTCCCTGGCCTTTCATGCAAGAAAGTGCATCTCTCTCCAAAGCTCCGGTCCTAATCGTTGCTCAGGACTCAGTTCTGTGCAGAGTGTGCGGCTGCCTTCATCTTCCTACGCACAGCGTGCAGCGCGCCATTGGCGCCACGCTCTGTTTGTGTCGCCTGCCTACGCTTCCACACCTTGAGCCCAGAATCATTTTCCCGCGACACCCACCCATTGCCCACCTTCAGACTCGACGCGTGGGCCAGGGCCAATCGGCCCTCTACAGAGATTTCCGAGGGGGTACCCTGCTCACATCGCCCTCGAGCCCGCCCAAACCTTCAGCACAATGCTTGCGCACCATAAACACCATGTCAGGGCTCACGGCTTCAAACTGTGGCGCAGGCAGAAGAAGCACCCTTCGACTTGGAAGCAGACTGCGCTGCCATGAAGGAGGCGCTTGAAACTGCCTTTACTTGTGCTAGGACTTCATACGCCACTTCGGGCCCCAGCCCCTACTATAAAGAACCTCGTGCACGGCCGTTTTGTATACGAATCACGTATGGGGCAGGTGATTGTAAGGCGCTCTTGCTTTGAGCTGTATAAAGTGCGGCTGGTCCTGATCGTACACGCGTCTGCTGCCCTTATGCCCGAAACATGACCTCCCAGTATACTATGGTATACTATGGTATACTATGGTATACTATGGTATACTGTGGTATACTATGGTATACTATGGTATACTATGGTATACTATGGTATACTATGGTATACTATGCAAGATCTTGAACCTGAACCTGCAAACAAGCCGAGGCCATGGAAGGTTGGGGAACCGATGAAATGACCTTGACAACGATGATTTGCAGCAAAACGCGGCTGGCTTAGATTTCTGAGTGCCAAATCAAGAGTTTTGTTGTGGTTTTGCCATGCTTATCCGTTGTCAAAGGGTTGATTATACGGAGTTGGGTGCTTTTCCCCTCAGGCTCCAAGCTTCTGTGCACCTTCCTGACTAGACCCTAAACCCTAAACCCTCCCGAGCAGGTCGAAGCAGATGGAGGATGTAAACGCAAAGTTCAAGGAGCTCTACGACAGGCGCTTAGACTGTAGGGTAGGAGCCTTGTGGGGCTTAAATGTCTTCCCCGCTCTTGCTGTTGAATCAGGTAAAACACCTTAGACACGACAAACAGGTTTGGGGCCCCAGTGCAGACACAAGCTGTCCATGACATGGATGGTTGAGCAGCTTTAGCGTTGCGAGTGGGCACCTACGGTCTTGCAGCACTTGCACGACACGCATCACGCGTGAGGGACTTGCTGGAGTGGGTCGAGAGTGAGACCAGCGGCTACTACAAAGATACGCCGCCAGTCAGCAAACATCTCTGTTGATGAGGGGGCTTGGGATCCCCTGAGTTGTGGGTAAAATGCCTGATTCTTCAAGGTTGATCGGCTGCATCCGCCACCCCATGAAGCAGCTGGCCCATTCCGTGAGGGACTGCATGGCAGGATGGGGCACGGACGACGAAGGACTGATCACCTGCCTGGTGCATCTGGAGGACTGCGAACGTCTCGTGAACATCTCATGACTCATGTCTGTGAACATCCCACAAAGCGAGGCCACGCCTTCTCAGGATTTTCCCCCCGCCCCTCCGTCAGATTTGCTAGGTTAGGTTTGAAGATTCCAGGGCCGTCTCAGCAACTGGAGGACTTCAAGAAGGCCGCCCTCATCAAGGAGTACCAGGCCGAGTTCGGGCGCGACATCTTTGCCGACATTGAATCTGACACCAGCGGGGATTACCAGAAGGCCCTATGTGACCTGGTCAAGCCGGCTCCGCAGGTCTGGGACGATGGCAACAGCTGGGGACCTTTATGTCTACTTCGAGTAAGGCATAGTAAGGCTAGTAGATTACAACGAGTACGAGATGTTGCTACGGCAGACTCTTCATTGACAGTATCCAATGACTGTGCCAAGCCAAGTCGGGCTTCTTTTTTCTCCACAGGCAGAATATTTAATGGCTACCGCCAGTGCCGCCGACCCCACCCCCCGCCATTTTAGGGTGCCTCAGGGCTTAGGGAGTTTCTTGGGTGGCTTCGGCTTGGGCAGCTTGGGGTAGTTGGAGGATTTGGGCGCCCTTTGCAGGGATGACGCTATGAGGGTTTAGGGTTTAGGGCTAGTTCGCAGCCTTTTGGGAGAGGGGGGGGCCTTCACACTGGTGGCGGGCGGTGCGGATGGCGGCTCGTCAGCGTGGGTGGCTCGGGGGCGGGTGGCTTGGGGCGGTCTTGGTGGTTCGGGTCATGTGGGTGGTTGGGGTGATGTGGGGTTCGGGTGGTGTGGGTGTTTGGCGGCATGGCTTCGTTCATGTACAGACTGTACAGCCTCAGAGTGTCCTACTGTGCATACCTAGGCTGGGCACTCTGATAGGATTCCTGACCCTTGAGGCGGCTGCGGGCAAGTGAGCGAGGAAAGAAAAATACAAATTTGTTAAGTTTACCTGTAACTCCGTATCAGTTTTGTGGGGCCCCTGCAGGGTCCCAGGAAGGGACCAAGCAGGGCAGCCCCCCCAACTAGAAAAACCTAGATGAATTTAGAATCTGTCCCCATGTGCTTGCATAAAGGCCCACGGGAGGGGGACCCAAGGACCCCCCGGGGCAACCGGCGCCCCGAGAACCAACGCGGATCCTGCAAAAACAGGGCGACCGACCCAAGGACCGGCGGAGGGTGGGAGAAGCGGGCGACCGACCCAAAGACCGGCGGAGGAGGAAGTTTTAAAACTTGCGTTTTGCGTTGTTCTATACGTCCTGTTGAGTCGGGCCTTTTTTGCTTTGTTCTAAGCGTCAAAGTGGCAGATTCCAAATTCCACCGAATCCCGGTGCCCTATGCTCCCTTAGAAGGGCCCCCATGGCTCAAATCCTTCGGCTAATCCAGGGCATTTAGCCTTGCGAGCAGCACAACGGCAAAGTTTGGATTGCGAGCCAGGGGTCGGTCAGAAGAGCGTTTGGAAGCGAGGCTTCAAACGGCGCGCGAGGTTCACGAAGCGGGTTGGTTGGGGTCACACGCCCGACATGACGAACACCTCAAAAACATAGGCAAACGATGGAGCAAAGACAACAGAAACGAAGAAGCACGCAAAGAACAATGAAATCAGAAATACAAGCAAAATAGGTCACGGAGTTTCTCTCCTACTCAGGCAGAACAAATTAAAAGGAGAACAGCTCAAAAACATAGGCAAATGCTATGCCAAAAAACACGAACAAGCATGCAAACAGCAATGCAAACGGAAATAAAAGCAACGTAGGTGACGGAGTTCTTTCTCCCACCCAGGCATAGGACAAAAGAAGAACACCTCAAAAACACAGGCAAATGCTTGATCAAAACCCAGAGAAACGACAAAGGACGCAAAGAATGAAAACGGAAATAAATCCAAGGTAGCGGACGGAGTTTTACCTCCTGCCCAGGCATAGGAGAAAAGAGGAACGCCTCAAAAAGAGAGGCAAATGCTGGATCAAAAGCAACACAAACGCAGAAGGAGGCAAAGAGCAATGAAATCAGAAATACAAGCAAAATAGGTCACGGAGTTTCTCTCCTACTCAGGCAGAACAAATGACAAGGAGAACAGCTCAAAAACACAGGCAAATGCTATGCCAAAAATCACGAACAAGCATGCAAACAGCAATGCAAACGGAAATACAAGCAATGTAGGTGACGGAGTTCTATCTCCCGCCCAGGCATAGGACAAAAGAAGAACACCTCAAAAACACAGGCAAACGCTTGATCAAAACCCAGAGAACCGACAAAGGACGCAAAGAATGAAAACGGAAATAAAACCAAGGTAGCGGACGGAGTTTTACCTCCTGCCCAGGCATAGGAGAAAAGAGGAACACCTCAAAAAGAGAGGCAAAGGCTGGATCAAAAGCAACACAAACGCAGAAGGAGGCAAAGAGCAATGAAATCAGAAATACAAGCAAAATAGGTCACGGAGTTTCTCTCCTACTCAGGCAGAACAAATGACAAGGAGAACAGCTC